ACCTAAACAACACGTCCCAGAACAAATCGAAAAAGTGGAATTGAAACCGGTTGTGAAAGTCAAACACGAGGATAAACCAGAAGAAATGGAAAAAGTTGAATTGAAACCGGTCGAAAGAGAAGAACCGGAGGAAGATAAAACACCTGACGATAAACGAAAACCGAAACAAAAGCGAAAGAGGCCTGGACTCAAGGATATTGAGTCACCCGATGACGTAGAACTAGAAAAGTATGAACCGTTCGAAAAAGACGATAAAGCTCCGGAACCAAAAGAAGACGTGAAAGTGCCCTGGCAACGTGGCAAGAAGCCAGATAAACCTGTTGAAGAAGACAAGAAACCGGAATGGACTATAACGAGGAAACCGAAAACAGAAAAACCGGAAGAAGATGTTGAATTTATGAAGGGAAAACGTCGTCCGAAACCGGAAGAAGAAAAAGAAACAGTACAATTAAAACCCTTCAAAAAAGATAAACCCGAAGACACCAAGAAAGATGATGATTCGAAACCAATTAAATTTACTCCAAAACCATTAGATGAAGGCGACAACGTAGATCTCTTGCCTTATGATCGAAAAGAACCAGAAGGCGAAAAACAAGACGAGAAAACCTTACCCTGGCGACGTGGTAAAAAGCCGCGCGAACCATCTGAAGATAAACCAGAAGAAATATCAAAAGAACCGGAAAAGCCTCATCAGGTAACATTGAAACCAGTCAAACGACCACAACCGAAAGAACACGTACCCGAACAAATCGAAAAAGTAGAATTGAAACCAGTTGTGAAAGTCAAACATGAAGATAAACCTGAAGAAATGGAAAAAGTTGAATTGAAACCTGTCGAAAGAGACGAACCGGAGGAAGATAAAACACCTGATGATAAACGAAAACCGAAACAAAAGCGAAAGAAACCAGAATTAAAGGATATTGAGTCACCCGATGACGTAGAACTAGAAAAGTATGAGCCATTCGAAAAAGACGATAAAGTTCCGGAACCAAAAGAAGAAACGAAATTACCTTGGCAACGTGGCAAGAAGCCAGATAAACCTGTTGAAGAAGATAAGAAACCGGAATGGACTATAACGAGGAAACCGAAACCAGAAAAACCGGAAGAAGATGTTGAATTCATGAAAGGTAAACGTCGTCCGAAACCAGAGGAAGAAAAAGAAACAGTACAATTAAAACCCTTCAAAAAAGATAAACCCGAAGACACAAAGAAAGACGATGATTCGAAACCAATTAAATTTACTCCAAAACCATTAGATGAAGGCGACAACGTAGATCTCTTGCCTTATGATCGGAAGGAACCAGAAGGCGAAAAACAAGACGAGAAAACCTTACCCTGGCGACGTGGTAAAAAGCCGCGCGAACCATCTGAAGATAAACCAGAAGAAATATCAAAAGAACCGGAAAAGCCTCATCAGGTAACATTGAAACCAGTCAAACGACCACAACCGAAAGAACACGTACCCGAACAAATCGAAAAAGTAGAATTGAAACCGGTTGTGAAAGTCAAACATGAAGATAAGCCAGAAGAAATGGAAAAAGTTGAATTGAAACCCGTTGAAAGAGACGAACCGGAGGAAGATAAAACACCTGACGATAAACGAAAACCTAAACAAAAGCGAAAGAAACCAGAATTAAAGGATATAGAGTCACCCGATGACGTAGAATTAGAAAAGTATGAGCCATTCGAAAAAGATGATAAAGTTCCGGAACCAAAAGAAGAGGTGAAAGTGCCCTGGCAACGTGGCAAGAAGCCCGAAAAACCTACAGAAGAAGATAAGAAACCGGAATGGACTATAACGAGGAAACCGAAAACAGAAAAACCGGAAGAAGATGTTGAATTTATGAAGGGAAAACGTCGTCCGAAACCGGAGGAGGAAAAAGAAACAGTACAATTAAAACCCTTCAAAAAAGATAAACCCGAAGACACCAAGAAAGATGATGATTCGAAACCGATTAAATTTAGGCCTAAACCTTCGGATGAACAACCTGAACAGGTTGTGTTGAAATCGATAAAGAGGCCTCAACCAAAGGAAGTCGCTCCTGAGGAAGTCGAAAAAGTTGAATTGAAACCAGTGAAGAAAATCAAGCCGGATGAAAAACCAAAATCCGATGAGATCATCAAGTCCTTCGTTCAAGACGTTGCGGATGAGGAGAAGATGGAATCCGAATCGATTGTCGTGGAACAAACGAAAAAAGTTATCAAAAAGATTTTAAAGAAACCTAAAGGGGAATTACCGACTCCGCCGAGGTTTATCGAAAGGTTACAACCCGTTGTAGTGAATCCTGGTAAACCTGCCGTTTTCGTTTGTAAAGTTGAGGGGCAACCTTTTCCAAACCTTTCTTGGTATCATAGTGAGGTTGAACTTTTCCCTTCGGAAAATTATGTCATGACTTTGGTTGATGATACTGCTACTCTTGAAATAATAAGACCTGAACCTCAACACGTTGGAATGTATTCTTGTAGAGCCTCGAATCCAGCGGGTGTAGCAACATCAACTGCTAATTTTATTATTTTAGGTACTCTTATTATGACGTCATTTTATCAATACTAATTTTTCCGTTTCTTTAGTATTTAAATTAATTTTTTTGTTTGTTGTTGTTTGTTATGTTTTGTTTGTTTTTATTTCTTTTTTTTTTTTAAACCTGACTAATTTTTTTATCAATTTGTGACATTTTTTTTACTCGTTATTATTAACAATCGTAAAATTTCACAGGTACTATTTAACGTCTATTTAAATATTTCTTTTTTGTTTGTTTTCGTCCTTTTTTTTTCGTTTTGTTTTTTTTTTTTTATTTATTTAAATGCATTACTCGTAATTTATAAACGTTAAAATTCATTGTAATTTTGGATTTCTTTCACGATTCGTAGAAAAACAAGAAAGTGGCATCGCTCCCCATTTCACCGAGCCGCTTAAACCCAAAGCTACGGATGAAGACAAACCTGTCACGCTCACGTTTACCGTCGAAGGAAAACCTATGCCTGAAGTTAAATGGTTTATCGACGAACGTGAGATAATCGAAGACGAAAGAAGAGAAATTAAATACGATAAGAAAACGGGTAAAGGATTCATGAAAATACACAAAGCGAAACTCGAAGATGAAGTTATTTACAGGTGCCAAGCTGTAAACAAATTCGGAAAAGCCGAATGCAGGTCTAACATAATAGTTAACAAGCGCACGAAAGAAAAGAAGGCACCCAAAATGAAACCGCCGAAAATAACGAAACCTTTGGAAGCTACTTTTGTTACGGTCGGAGACGAGACGATTCTCGACGTTGAATTCGACGGAACGCCGAAACCACAAATCAAATGGTTTAAAAACAACGTGGAAATAACGGAAAAAGAAAAAATAATCATTGAAGAAAATAAAACGATACATAAAATAAGAAAAGTTAAAAAACAAGATGGCGGAAAATACGAAGTTAAAGCTGTTAATCCGGTCGGAGAAGCTAAAACTTCGGCAACTCTTAGAGTTACCGATAGGAAAACATCCGAAGAAAAAGAAGTCAAACCACCGAGATTTATAAAAGCTTTGAAACCCCAATACGTTGCCGAAGGTGAAGTCGTCATTTTAGAAGCCACCGTCGAATCTTATCCAACGTGTTCATTCCAGTGGTACCAACGATCGACTCCAATTAAAGTAAGGAAAAACTAAAAAAAAAGGAAAAAAATTTTTTTTTTTTTTTTTAAATTTAAAAAATTTTATTTTATTAAAAATTTTTATAAAAATTAAAAATTTCAGTCATCTCCGGAATATCGAATCGTCGAAGAACCCAATCGTAGCGTTTTGATAATAAAACAATCGAAACCGGAAGACGTAGGTGACTACACGTGTCGAGCGGAAAATGTCGTCGGTTCCGTCACGAGTACGGCAACACTTTCCATCGTCGAAGAAATCGAATGGGAAGAAGTAACCGAATTTAAATCACCTTATTTCGTCGAACCCATAACGAGTCAACGTGTCATGGACGGTGAAAAAGTATTATTCACCTGTCAGGTAGAGGGTAAACCGATACCTCACGTTGAATGGTACCACAACAACACTCCGATTCACGAATCCAAGGAAACGACAATTTTCCAAGACACGGAAGGTGTTTGTTATTTGGCCATGAATGAAGTTTTTCCCGAAGATGCTGGAGAATACACTTGCACGGCTGTTAATAAATTAGGTGAAGCGGTTTGTTCGGCATCGCTGGTTGTCGAAGGTACGTAAACTAAAAATAAAAAACATGTTTTTAACGTCACCCCCAAACAATTTATAATAATAATGATGATAATATTGTTTTTTTAGCTTACGAATACGTACCTGATTCTGAAATCGCTTCTGTTTTGGTAACCATGCAAAGTGGATCAGAAGAAGATTTACTCGAGGAAAAAGTTAGTAATAGACTTCATAAATTACTCGTTGGAGACATTTTTTCATTATTATTATCTTTAACGATTATTATTATTATTATTATTATAACAGGAAGAAATTTTCGAAGAAAACAGTCCTCAGTTCATTGAGGAATTAGATGAAAAAATAATTCTTCAAGTCGGAGAACAAAAAAGGCTCAAAGTTAAAGTGAACGGTAAGCCCAAACCTAAAATATCTTGGCTCAAAGACGGCGTGCAAATAGAACCGTCGCCGGAATTCATCGTGGAAGAATACGAAGATGGAACTTCGATACTCACGATAACGGAAGTGTATCCAGACGATATCGGAGAGGTAACGGTTGTCGCCGAGAATCCACTTGGCGTCGCCACTATATCAACAGTCCTGGAAGTAGAAGGTATGCTAAATAAATAAATAAAAATTTGAAAATGCAACAAAACATTTCAGGTTTTTTCTTTTAATCGAGAATATTTTTTTTTTATAAACTTTTTAGATGAACTAGACGAAATGAAAAAGCCGAAACAAAGAGTTGCGAAAAAAGTTGAAGAACGAAAAGTTTTACACAAAGGTAAAAAAATAAATTCGAATGACGATTTGTTTACAATGAGTTTGATGAATGCTAACAAGTTTGAAGTTTTTAAAACTAACAACCAAAACGCTCGTAAATTTTCCGAAAAAATTTTCTTTGGAAATGATCCGACGGAATCGAACGACGACGGTCGTACGTATCATCACGCGCCTAAATTAGGCTCGATTAACGACTCCAGGAAAATTTTTGAAAAATTTCAATCCGATGCAACAACCGCCCACGGCCAAAAAGTCAATTTAAAAAGTTTGTTCGAAGAATCGAAAAATACCCGAGAACCCAAACAACAAGAAAAGTCGCCGGAGACCATCGTCAATTCGGATGAATCATCAAATTCCGAATTTGAATTTTTAGAAGCCGAATGCGAGATGAGTGACGACGTCGACGTCGGCGAAAACGACGACAATGTCGACGATGACGACGACGACGACGAAAGAGAATTATTCATTAACGACGGAAACGAGAAAAATTATTACATTTTAACTCCGATACAGGAAAACAGCGAACCGAGTTCATACGACACTCATTATTGTAACAACGATGAAAGCGACGGAAACGGTCATCATCATCCTGATGACGATGATGATGGATACATGATGATGACGTCATCATTATACGCGGTTTCGGCCGTTCGAGAAGACGAAGATCCTTTGACGAAAAGTCAAACATTTCCAAGGTCTAGGATTCCCGCAGCAGCGAGACGTCATCGTTTAAGACACGATTACGAGGATTCCGGTTTGTATCCTTTCGAACCGAGGATATTAGATCCTTCGGGTTTTCATCAGTTGCACGCAGCCGACAGTCAGGAAGAATTACAAGAATTTTTATTACTCGAAAGCGAATGCATGGACGATGAGAGGCAAGGTTTAGCTTCCGCTTTTATACCTTCCGATTCGAAAGGTTCAACGCGTTGTAAAAGTAAAAGTAGATTTTCAAAAGGTAAATTTTCCTTTTTTTCTTTTTCTTTTTTTTCATTTCCACTGCATGTTTCGCCTTAAGTCTTTTTCTGTACGTGCCTTTCTTTTTTTTTCAATATGGCGGTAATAGTAGTAGTAGTAGTTTATTTGAAAACGACTTAAGGTTTTTTTCTTTTATTTTTTAATTGATATTTTATTAATTTTGGCATGTTTGAATTTTTTTTTTTTTATGATAGTGAAATGATTTGTTGTTGTTGTTGCTAACCTCTACCTCTTCATACATATTCGTCCAATAAATAAGAAAATTTTTAATTAGAATATAAAAGGTAAATTCATTCTTATTGTATCTTTCTTTTATTATTATTATTTATTTATTTATTTAATTTGTCTTGTAATCGAACTGATTTTTTTTTTTAACTCTTCGATTGGCCTTTCTTTTTTTTTTTTTAGCCAAACAAACAGCGCCGAAATTCATCGAAAACATTGTAAACAAAGAAACCGTTGAGGGAGAAAAAGTTGAATTCGTTTGCACGTACGAGGGAACTCCGACTCCCGACATAAAATGGTACAAAAACGATAAACTACTGACAAACACGAAAGACGTTAAAATAGATTACAATAAGCAGAAGACGACTTGCGTCATAGAAGAAGTTAAAAAAGATGACGAAGGTACTTACATTTGCAAAGCGACGAGCGACAAAGGTTTGGCCGTGACCAAAGCTAAACTCACCGTCAAAGGTAAAAAACGATGGAAATGATGTTGTTGTTATTGTTTTTCCTTTTAATATCGTGATTATAATAATGGTAATTATTATTATTATTATTATTATTTCAATTAAAGAACCAAAGAAAAAGGATAAAAAAGATGACGAAGAAGAAATCGAAGAAGAAACGATCATAACAAAAACGATTAAAAAAATGAAAAAACCAAAGTAAGTAATGAAAACAAAAAAAGTTTTAAATCAACGTAAAATTAAAATAAAATTTTATGATTATGATTTTTCCCGCAGAAAAGCGGAAGAAAAAGAAGACAAACCGGAAGAAGAAACGACGGAAGAATTCGTTGAAAAATTAAAACCCGTCAAAGCGAAACCGAGATTTGACGTTGCCGAACCTTTGGAAACTTCGGCCGTTGCGTCGATGAAAAAAATGGATAAAAAAGAAGAAGAGGTGAAAGAAGAAAAAGCGGAAAAAGTTTTACCCGTTCGTGAACCCGTCACGATTTCCGAAACTCAACCGGTCGAAGAAGTCAAAGACGTGACTCGAAAGAGTAAAACACCTAAAAAAGCCAAAGAATTGACGGAAGAAGAAAAAACGAGGGAAAAAGTCACGACGACGAAAACTCTAACGCGAATACTGAGAGAAGCGACGGAATCGACGGAAGTCGAAGATGTTTTACAAACCGTAAAAGCGAAAGAATTCGGTCCGGGTGAAAAACCACTTAAAGAATTGGCACAAATCGGTTTCATGGTTAAAAAAGGAGTGTCCGTAAGCGAAATACAAGAACTTTACAATTTGGAAAAATTTCCAGAGTTGAGAAAACCCGAATCCCAATCCGCGCTGGTACAAGTCGTCGAAAGAAAAGGTCACAGTCCGATAATAACGGAAGTTTTAACGCAGGAAACGGCGATCGACGAAACGACCGCATCCACGATCGGTTTCAAAGCTTTCATGAGAATGATCGAATTGAATTATGCGACGGTCGAAGAAGTTTTAACGAATTTGGCTCCGGAAGATTTCAAACCTGAATCGTGGACTTTCACGAGAGCCATACAAGTAAATTTTTTCTCTCTCTCTCTCTCTTATTCCCTTTTTCCGTTAAAATGATTTGGGTTTTCCGTGATAATAAAAATTATTTTTTTTTTTTTAATGCAGACGACGACATCTAACGAAGTTCGAGAAACAGCGGAATTGATAAGGAGAGAAATTCAAGGTACGTACAAAAGTCAAAAACCTTATCATCACTTGGAGCATGACAATAAATTCCCAGTTTAAAAAAAATTTCGATTTCGTTTTATTAGAGAAAAAAAAAAAAAAAAAAAAAAAAAAAAAAAAATTATTTTCAGGTACACGGCTCGTTGATAATACGATTGATTGGCTTCCGGATCGCTTTACAAAAATTACCGTGTTTCATTTCACAATGCTTTTGCTGTATTTTTTTGTGTCGCAAGTTTGCGTTCGAACTAAACCGACAACAACCTTTGATACCATTTAAATGTTTTTTTAATTTTTTTTTGTGTTGATAATCTCATCATCATTATTATCATTATTATCATTACCTTTTTAACTCCATTTTTTTTTTTTTTACCCTTTTTTTTATGTATACAAATACGATGTACATAATTTTTTTTTTTTTTGTTTTGTTTTTATTTAATAAAAGTTTGTAAAATTATTATTATTATTGTTATTATTATCATGTTTTTTTTAAAATGCTACTTAACAATGAGTGTAATGCTTATTAAGGTTTTATTACTATTGTTATTTTTTTAATTAATATGTATTTATATAAAATTGACGTCATCGCAAAACTTCGACGTAATAGATCGAATGGTAAACAATCATCACGAGGGGTAAGCATTAATATTATTATTATCATTTATATTTTTATTACGTCATACAATTAAAAAGAAAAAAAAATGGTTGAGTAATAAATGTTTGTTTGAGTGGTGACATTTTGGAAAAAATAAAAAATAATTTTTTTAATTTTATTACTTCACAGAGAGTAAGAGAACCGTGAGTCAGAAAAAGACGAGAGAAATCGAAGAAAGCGAAAAAGGTTTGAATTTTTTCCTTTTGTATTTATAAGAAAAGGATTTACGATTAAATTTGGGTTAAAAAAAAAAAAAAAAATTATTTATTTTTTTTCATTGCAGAAATGATTGAAGTAGACGAGACAAAGAAGGGACTTTTAGCGATACGTAAAACAGATAAGAAAAAACCGATAAGAGAAGTGAAGGAAGAAGAAGAAATCGAGTACGAAATTGAATACGAAGAAGGAAAGAAAAAGAAAATTAAAAAAGTTATCAAAGCGAAAAAACCGGATTTGGATGAGGAATTAATTGAAGAGGATACATTTGAAGAATTCAAACCGGAAAAACAAATACTTTTGAAAAGTTTACCCGTTATAAGTGCTCATTTCACGTCCGAAGCCGTTTCCGTTGAGCAACCGACGGAAATTGAAACTCACGTCGATAAAGAGCAAAAAATAAAAGTTACGCTGTTGCCGCACTCTGCAATTTTGAACGAAGAAGTTAGATTTGAAGAAGATGAACAAGATTTCACGGGTAAATTTAAACCGGAAACGTTTAACGTCATGAGCAAAATGGACACGATGGAATCGATCGAAGTAACAGAACAACAAATTCAAATGAGATCGGAACAATTCGATTCGAAATTTGTTCCTCAAACATTCGAAGCGACTAAAACGATGACTCCCAGCGAAGGAGTTTTGGTGAGTGAAGTTATGACAAACGACGAAGTCATCGAAACAACACGAGCCGAGGTAAAGAAGAATCAAGCGAAAGTTACCTTGCTCCCGAAGGAAGCTACGGTTATAACAGAAACTGAAACTTCATTGAAAGAAGAAACTTTCGCGCCGAGCGATGCTCCGAAAACAAGTCAAGCGGAAAAGAAAATGATCACTCAAGAAGGAGTCACGATAACGGAAGTTCAAGAAGTGGAAAGCGAGAAAAATTTCGAAGGAAAATTCAAACCGACGCCGGTAAAATCCAATTTGGAATTTTTACCCAAAGAATCAATAACCGTGAGTGAAACGATACCTGAAACGAAAACGGAAAAATACCTTCCGGAACAATTCGTAGCGACCGAGGTTGCAACCAAAGGCGTAAGAGCTCACTTCCAAATAACAACGCAAGAAATGAATCTACCGGAAACGGAAGGCGAATACGTTCCGGGTCGACTCCCACCATCTCAAACGGCAGATTTAGAATTTATAACAAAAGGTCCTTTGATCGTTACGACAACCGTTCTCGAAGAAAAGGAAAAACCATTTGCTACGGATAAATCACCAGAAACTTATTCGGCCACTCCAGAACTGACTCCTTTGGAAGGAGTTAAAGTGACATCCGTGAAACCAGCCGATAAAGAATCAACCTTGATCATTGAAAGTCCCGAAGAGAAAACGGCTGACGTTGAATACCTGGAGAAAAAATCACTGGTCACTCAAATAACGACAAGTACGGAAAAAGAAGGTATTTTCGTACCTGGTCAAAAACTCGAAGGAAAAAAAGCCGACTCTACGATAACTTGTTTAGAAACGTCGAATATTTTGGAGACCGTGGTTCAAGAAAAGGAATCGGATTTCGTCAAGCCTAAAACGGTGACGCCCGTCATTGCTGAAAAAACAATTCGACCCGGAACTGAATTACAAGTTTCCGAAATTGTTACCGGTGATGCCATTTCCGATTTTACTGACGTTCTCAAATATCGAACCGAAACCGCCGTTAAAAATTTCGAAACGAAAGAAACGGCACAACAGACAATAACAACTGTACAAGAAAAAGAAAAAGAAATGATGACATCTTTAAAAATGGATTTCGAAACCGTCGAAGAATCGTTCAACGTTCAACAAAGCGTCATCGTTCAAGAATTAAACGTCGGAGAATCGGAAGGAATCGTTAGCGTCGCAGAATTTCCCGATAAGCATAACATAAAATTCACTCCGACTCATCCCCTTCAATCGTTGGCCATCGAAGAAACTTTAGTCCACGGCGAAACGAAAACATTAACGAAGGAACAACCTAAAGGCATAAAAGCGAATTTGGAACAGGACGCACTTCAGGAAACGCAAATACAAGAAATCGTAACCGGCGAAGAATTAGGTCGATACGATAAAGATTTCAAACCAGATAGAAAAGTTGCGGAAATTTTACTTTCGGAAGAGAAACAAGTGACCGTGACGGAAGTTATCGCTCCTGAAAAAGAAGGAATTTACGAGAAATTGGAAGGTCCTGAAAAACATAAAATCAAACCTACTCCGACTCATCCTCATCAACCGTTGGCCGTGGAAGAAACTTTGATTCAAGGCGAAACTAAAGTTTTATCTAAAGAAAAACCTCAAACGTTATCGGCAAATGTAGAACAAGATGTCCTTCAGGAAACGCTCATACAAGAAGTCATCGTAGGAGAAGGATTAGGACAATACAGCAAAGACTTCAAGCCGGATACTAAAAAAGCCAACGTTGAACTATCCGAAGACAAATCATTAATCGTAACCGAAATGATACTGTCGGAGAAAGAGGGAGTTTGCGACAAAGCTTTTGAAATCGATAAGAAACACGCGAATTTCGATATCTCGCCTCAAACCGTCGCCATATCTTCATCCATACACGTGGAATCTTCGGTAGGAGAATTTCATAAAGAAAAACTTAACACGGAAACGGCTCACACCCAACAATCGTCGGTGGAGGGATTGATGATTACTCTAATGCAACCCGTTGAAACCGAAGGAAACTACGTAACGGAAATAAAACCGGATATGAAGAAAGTCAGCGTTGAAATCACCGAAGGGAAAAAAGGTATTTCCGTCACTCAAATCATTTCTCAAGACAAAGAATCTCCTTACGAAGGTTTTAAACCGCAAGAATATCAAGCCGGCATGGATATTTCACCGCAAGTGGCATCTGTTATAAGTGAAACTAAATCGGAAGTATCATTAGGAAATATCGATTATCAAACGCCGAGTACCGCCCATGCAAAACCCGATCACGAGCTTTTCACAGAATTAACGGTAACGGAATCCATGGTGGCCGAAACTGAACAGAAATTGATTAAAGGAGAAACTAAAGATTTCAAAAAAGCTCAATTGACGTTACTCGAAGAGCAAGGAGTGTTTGTAACCGAAGTCGTGCCAGAACAAAAAGAACATGCTTTGATTAAAGAAGAAAAACCAACTGAGAAAACGGCTCAATTGGAAATACTAGAACAATCCGTTGCTTTGAAAGAAGAAATTGTAACGACAGACAATGTAGACAGTTTTAAGAGAACGTCTCCGACAAAAGAAAAAGCCTTACCAAAACAAGAAGGTTTGGAATGTGCTATATCGCAAATCGAAGCTCCGGCTGAATCGGAAGGTGTTTACGTCGGCGATTTGAAACCTGATAAAAAACGAGCGGAGACGGAATACGAAGAAGCCAAGCAGAGTTTATTCGTCACCGAAGTCACTTTACAAGATAAAGAAAAACAACTTGTCACGGAAGAGAAACCCGATTACCAGAAAGTTATCTTGGATGTGATAAGTAGAGAAGTGGCCGAAACCGGTGAAATCAAAGTTGAGACATCGTTGGCCGAAATGGACGAAGAAAAACCAACATTACAAAAAGCTAAGCCTCAACAAACGTTACAAGAATCGCTTATACTGTCAGAAACTGCACCGGGAGAAAAAGAAGGCGAATTGTTGCCGCTCACCAAACCGGAAGAAAAAAGTGCAAATTGGGAAATCGACGAAAAAACCGGTTTATCCGTGTCAGAAGTTATTGTTCAAGATAAAGAAAAAGATGAATTCGTGGGTAAAGAAAAGCAGAAACTTCTCGCCGCCGACACGAGTTTTGTCGAAGGTGTCAGCATAACAGTATCGGAAGTTATCGTTCAACAAAAAGAAGACGTTTTCCAAGAGAGAGAAAAAATGTTCGAAACGAAAACGGCAAGCAAAGAAATAATCAGTCAAACTTCTCTCAACAGAGGCGAAGTCCTAACACTCGAATCAATCGAAAACCTAAAACAAATAAAACCCGTCGAAAGCAAAGCATTATTGGAACAAGATGTAATACAAGAACTGGTCGTGTCGCAAAACATAGTTCAAGAAAGCGAAGAATTTTTCGAAGAAAAATTCGCTCCGAAAACATCGACGGCCGAAATCCAAGTCGAAGAAAGTAAAGGTTTGGTTATAACGGAAATAACACCTGAACAAATCGGAAACGAGGAGTACGAGAAATCGTTGCCGGAGAAAAAGAAAGGAAGAGTTACGTTTGATGAAAATATTAATCTCACGGTGTCAGAAATTGAAGTGCAAGAATCGGAGGGTGAGTATACATCTGCCACAAAACCACTGACACACCAAAGTAAAATAAATTTTGAACAATTAAGCGCAGTTCAAAACACTGAAATAACAACAAACGATGTTCTCGATCGATTTTCACAAGACAAGATTGATGAACAACACGCAGTTAAAACATTACTATCAACAACAACATTTGCACCACTAATATCAGAAACCACACTGGCAGAAACAGAGGGCACAATTGAAAAACAAATACTCCCCTCGACAAAATCTGCTAAATCAGACGTAACAGATGTAAATACGATAGCAACAATACAAGAAATAACCACAAATATATGCGAAAAACCATTTGATACAGTTAAATATGATACTAAAAAAGCCGTAATAGAATACGTTGAAACAAACAAAGCTCCTGTCACACAAGAAACAACAACTTCCGAAACACTCGGACAATTTAAAGAAAACAAACTCACAACACACGCAGCCAATACCGAGTACGATGTTCTATCCGAGTTGACGGTGTCTTCAACTCAGATACTCGAGCAAGTAACGGATACGACAAAATTAGAAAAAATCTCAGACCACAAAATTATACCCAAAGATAATATTGCCCCTCGTAAAGCTCCGATGCAAGAAGAAATTTTCTTCGACGAAGATGTTTCCACATTAAAACAACCGGAAAAAGGTAAATCGACAAACGTGAGTAACGTTACCGTCGAAGGAAGAGAAGTCCCGGTGATTGAAGAAGCACAAATTGAACAAAGCACGATCGATTTGGAAATATCCGAACAATTGAAACAATCGCAGGCTAACATAGACGTGATTACGAGAGAAGCAGCATTAACATTAGTTTCGGAAAGTGAACAAACGGTTGCAAAATTAGAATTAGAAAAATTAGCAGAACTCTCGAAAGCGACAACTCAATTCGTGTCTAACATAGTCGCTCTCAACACGGAACAAGTGACGCAGGAAACGTCGAAAGAATTCGCTGTGACTAGCAAAGAACAACATAGCGCATACCCGGAAATCATACCTTTGGAAGCTAAATCCGTTCTCAATGTGATATCAAACGAGAAAGAAGACGTTTTCGACGAGAAGAAAAAACCGGAAAAAAGACAGGCAAACGTTGAAGTCGTACCGTTGAAATCCAAAACCGTAGAGGAACATTTGACTAATCAAGACGTTGAAGAATTGAGCACTAAAAAACCAAAAGATACAAAAGCGGAAGTTAAAATCTCCGGTGAATTTACCGCGATCACGAAAGAAACGGTCGAAGTCGACGAAAAAGAAAATTTTTTCGATAAGAAGAAAACACCGGAAAAAAGAAAAGCAAACGTGGAAGTGATACCGTTGAAATCCAAAACCATACAGGAACATTTGACCAATCAAGATGTCGAAGAATTCACGACCGATAAACCGAAAGACAAAAAAGCAGATGTTTCTTTATACGGTGAACTCGCCGCCATCACCAAAGAAACGGTCGAAGTTGATGAAAAAGAAGACGTTTTCGATAGAAAGAAAAAACCGGAAATGCGACAAGCCAACGTCGACGTTGTCCTTCTCAAATCGAAAACCGTGCAAGAGCATTTGACAAATCAAGATGTTGAAGAATTTAAAACGGTCAAATTTGAAAACACTCAAGCGGAAGTCACTCTTTCCGGTGAATATTCAGCACTCATTAAAGAAACAATACAAGCTGACGAAAAAGAGGATGTTTTCGACAAAAAGAAAGGACCGGAAAAAAGAAAAGCGAACGTTGAAATCGTCGCTCTTAAATCTAAAACCGTTCAAGAACATTTAACCTCTCAGGAATTAGAAGAATTCAAAACGGAAAAACCGGACGATAAAAAAGCGGAAATGACACTGTCCGGAGAATTATCTGCAGTTACCAAAGAAACGGTTCAAGTAGACGAAAAAGAAGATGCTTTTGATAAGCGAAAAATACCCGAAGGAAAAAAAGCGAGCGTAGAAGTCGTGGCATTAAAATCGAAAACCGTTCAAGAAAATATATCTTCTCAAAACGTTGAAGAATTTACTACGGAAAGATTTGAAAACAAAACGGTTGACGTCACGCTGTCGGGTGAATTGACGGCGGTCACCGAAGAAATGGTACAAGCCAGCGAAAAAGAGGATGTCTTTGATGGAAAGAAAACTCCCGAAAAACGCACAGCTTCCGTTGATGTCGTATCTCTGAAATCTAAAACCGTCGAGGAACATTTAACTAACGAAGATGTAAAAGAATTTAAAACTAAAAAGTTTGAAGACTCGAAAGCTCAAATGACCATTTCCGGAGAATTAACGGCGGTGTCCAAAGAAGCCATTCAACCGGAAGAAAAAGAAGATATTTTCGATAAGAAGAAAGTTCCAGAATCGAAAAAAGCAAATATTGAAGTTGTACCGTTAAAATCTACAACCGTAGAAGAACATTTAACAACGCAAGACATTGGAGAATTAAAAACTAAAAAGCCGGAAGACACAACAGCGGAAGTCACCATTTCTGAATTGACGGCTATAACAAAACAAACGGTTACGGTTGAAGAAAAAGAAGATGTTTTCGACGAAAAGAAAAGGCCGGAACAACGAAAAGCTAATGTAGATTTCGTACCTCTGAAATCTAAGACCGTACAGGAACATTTGACCTCTCAAGATGTTGAAGAATTGAAAACTAAAAAACCAGAGGATACAACAGCGGAAGTTACTCTCTACGGTGAATATACCGCCGTAACAAAAGAAACTGTACAAGTCGACGAGAAAGAAAACGTTTTCGATCAAAAGAAAACACCCGAACAGCGTAAAGCCAACGTCGAAGTCGTACCATTGAAATCTAAAACAATACAAGAACATTTATCTTCTCAGAATGTAGGAGAATTAAAAACTGAAAAACCCGAGGATACGACAGCGGAAGTAACATTGTACGGTGAGCTCACCGCAGTGACCAAAGAAACGGTAACGGTCGAAGAAAAGGAAGATATTTTCGATAAGAAGAAAACACCCGATCAACGTAGAGCCAATGTTGACGTTGTACCATTAAAATCTAAATCCGTTCAGGAACATTTGACTAATGAAGATGTCGCAGAATTGAAAACTAAAAAACCCGAAGACACAACAGCGGAAATTACGATTTCCGAATTGACGGCTTTAACGAAACAAACAGTACAACCGGATGAAAAAGAAGACGTCTTTGATAAAAAGAAAGTTCCCGAAGAGAAGAAGGCAAACGTTGAAGTTGTACCTCTCAAGTCTAAAACCGTACAAGAACATTTGACCTCTCAAGATGTTGAAGAATTTAAAACGACAAAAGCTGTCGATTCCAAAGCTGATGTTACTCTCACAAGCGAGTTGATTACCGTTATTAAGGAAACGATTCAAACGGATGAAAAAGAAGATATTTTCGATAAGAAAAAAGGACCCGAAACCCGAAAGGCGAACGTCGATTTCGTATCACTAAAATCGAAAACGATTCAAGAACATTTAACTAGTGAAAATTTTGAGGAATTGAAAACTAAAAAACCTGAAGACACGACAGCGGAAGTCACGATAACCGAAATGACAGCCGTTACAAAACAAACGGTACAACCCGATGAAAAGGAAGACGTTTTCGACGAGAAGAAAACTCCCGAACAGCGTAAAGCTAATGTTGATGTTGTGCCTTTGAAATCAAAAACCGTTCAGGAACATTTAACGTCGCAGGACGTGCAGGAATTCAAAACAACAAAACCGGATGATACAACAGCGGAAGTCACACTTTACGGTGAATTTACAGCTGTCACAAAGGAGACAATACAAGTCGAAGAAAAAGAAAATATTTTCAGCGAAAAGAAAGCTCCGGAAACGAAAAAGGCAAACGTGGAAATTGTACCTTTGAAATCTAAAACCGTTCAAGAACATTTATCATCTCAGAATTTAGGAGAGTTGAAAACAGAGAAGCCGGAAGATACTACTGCGGAAGTTACAATTTCGGAATTTACGGCCTTAACAAAACAAACGATACAACCGGATGAAAAAGAAGATGTCTTTGATAAAAAGAAAGTTCCCGAACAGAAAAAAGCAAACGTTGAAGTTGTACCTCTCAAGTCTAAAACCGTTCAAGAACATTTGACTTCTCAAGATGTCGAAGAATTGAAAACTAAAAAACCGGAAGATACGACAGCGGAAATAACGATTTCCGAATTGACAGCCGTTACAAAACAAACGGTGCAACCGGATGAAAAGGAGGACGTTTTCGACAAGAAGAAAACTCCCGAACAACGTAAAGCTAATGTTGATGTTGTGCCTTTGAAATCAAAAACCGTTCAGGAACATTTAACAACTCAAGACGTTGAAGAATTGAAAACTAAAAAGCCGGAGGACACAACAGCGGAAGTTACATTATACGGCGAGTTTACCGCTATAACTAAGGAAACAATTCAACCGGACGAGAAAGAAGATGTCTTTGATAAGAAAAAAGCTCCCGAAAAGCTCACAGCTTCTGTTGACGTCGTGTCTCTAAAATCTAAAACCGTTGAAGAACGTTTAACACACGAGGATGTGAAAGAATTTAAAACTGTAAAGCAAGAAGATACAAAAGCTGAAATGACTATTTCCGGAGAATTAACTGCAGTGTCTAAAGAAGCGATACAGCCGGATGAAAAAGAGGACGTCTTTGATAAAAAGAAAGTACCAGAATCGAAAAAAGCAAATGTTGACGTTGTGCCATTAAAATCTAAATCCGTTCAAGAACATTTAACTAATGAAGATGTCGGAGAATTAAAAACTGAAAAACCGGAAGACACAACAGCGGAAGTCACCATTTCTGAATTGACGGCTATAACAAAACAAACGGTTACGGTTGAAGAAAAAGAAGATGTTTTCGACAAAAAGAAAAGGCCGGAACAACGAAAAGCTAATGTAGATTTCGTACCTCTGAAATCTAAGACCGTACAGGAACATTTGACCTCTCAAGATGTTGAAGAATTGAAAACTAAAAAACCGGAAGATACGACAGCGGAAGTCACCATTTCGGAATTGACAGCTGTCACGAAACAAACGGTTACGGTTGAAGAAAAAGAGGAAATTCTCGATAAGACTAAAGCACCGGAAAAACGGAAAGCAAGTGTGGACATTATACCATTGAAATCGAAGACGATTCAAGAGCATTTAACCTCTGAAAACTTTGAAGAATTGAAAACTAAAAAACCGGAAGACACGACAGCGGAAGTCACGATAACCGAATTAACAGCTGTAACAAAACAAACGGTACAACCCGATGAAAAGGAAAATGTATTTGATAAGAAAAAAGCACCTGAAAAGCAAAAGGCTAACGTGGACGTGGTACCTCTCAAATCTAAATCTATACAAGAACATTTAACTACCGAAGACGTGGAAGAACTGAAAAGTAAAAAACCGGAAAATGTCACGGCGGAAATAACATTATCCGAACTTACAGCTGTCACTAAGGAAACGGTTCAACCCGATGAAAAGGAAAATATTTTCGACAAAAAGAAAGTTCCAGAAAAGAAAAAGGCAAATGTTGAAGTCGTACCTCTTAAGTCTAAAACCGTTCAAGAACATTTAACGACTCAAGACGTGGAAGAATTTGAGACGGAAAAACCGGAGGATAAAAAAGCGGAAATGACTTTCACTCGCGAATTAACCGCAATCACGAAAGAAACTTTACAAGTGGATGAAAAGGAAAAACCTTTGGATAAGAAAAAATTACCGGAAATGCGTAAAGCTAGCGTTGACATTGTACCTTTACAATCGAAAACCGTTCAGGAACATTTAACGTCTCAAGACGTGGAAGACTTAAAACCCGAAAAACCGGAAGACACAAAAGCAGACGTTTCAATATCCGAATTAACAGCCGTAACAAAACAAACAGTCCAACCCGATGAAAAGGAAGACGTTTTCGACAAGAAGAAAACGCCCGAGAAACGAAAAGCGAGCGTTGACGTAATCACTCACAAATCAAAAACCGTCGAAGAACAATTAACAACACAAGATTTACAAGAATTGAAAACTAAAAAGCCGGATGACACAACAGCGGAAGTCACAATTTCCGAACTCACAGCCGTTACAAGACACACGATACAACCCGATGAAAAAGAGGACGTTTTCGACGAGAAGAAAACGCCCGAAAAACGCAAAGCGAGCATCGACGTCATAACACTTAAATCAAAAACCGTCGAAGAACGGTTAACAACACAAGATGTACAAGAATTAAAAACTAAAAAACCCGAAGACACGACAGCGGAAGTCACAATTTCCGAATTCACGGCTCTAACAAAACAAACGATACAACCCGACGAAAGGGAAGACGTTCTCGACGAAAAGAAAACACCCGAGAAACGCAGAGCCAGCATCGACGTCATAACACTCAAATCCAAAACAATACAAGAGCACGTCATCACGGAGGGAGTTAAAGAATTCAAAAGTGACGTCATAACGGATGACGACACGAAAGCGGATGTCATGACAGTTTTTACAGATTTAAAAGTTCCAAGCACAGACACAATTGAATCATATCAAACAACTAAAAAAATAACTCAAAAGAAACCGGCAGAGCATAAGGGTCTACCCGAATCGATACCCTTCGAAGATGTTTTCGTTAACGAAACCGAAGGAGTCACGGATTTCCTACAAGGTCAGTTATCCATACATGATTTTTTTCGCGATCCCCAAACTCACATGTTTATCCTATTCGTCGATAGTTAACAGTAGTAACAACAGCAACAACAGAAATAACTAACTAAACTCTCCCTGGAATCTTTAAATGTACCTTTTTTTTTTTGTTCGCCTTCGTCTTCGTGATTAGATTTTTTGTCGCGCAGCATTAAAACGCCGTTGAAACCGTTGTAATCACCGCCTTCCTTAAATTAACACGTACATACAGGTAGTGTGCTGCCGGGCTTACATTGCATTCCAATAATACATAACACACTTAAACACAATTTTTTTTTTTTTTATCTAAAACTTATTTGTGCTTAAAAAAAAAAAAAAAGCTTTCACTACAATTTTTTTTACACTCGTCATACACTACAAAACATAAAAAAACATCACAACAAATATAATAATAATTACAAAAAAAAAAAAAAAATTACAATTCAAAAAAATTTTTTTACACTACAATTACTTTTCGAAACACAATCATTCATTATTATTATTGTTTGTATTACAAAAAGTAGTGTCGAAAGGGTGTAAAAAAGGTTCAATGCAAAAACAAAACAAAACAATAAACATTTTTAAACACAAAAAAAAAAAAAAAACATGTAAAATTTCAGAACACGTCAAAACACACTTTATCACACAACCAAAAATACACAAAAGTCAATTCCGAGATGATGATGACGTTGTTGTTGATATAACGGAAGAAAGAGATGGAAAAACAGGTAAGGTTATTCTGGTGAAAAAGACAACGAGTAGACGGAGTAGTACTTCATCGACGGAAGATGAAAAACAAATTTCGATCGTTAAAACGCGAGATAAAACGCCTAAAATGATAACGGAAGAAATAACCGTCGAAAAAATCGATAAAGAAACCGGGCAAGTATTGGAAACGAGTAAGAGAGTCGTTACGAAAATGCACGCGACGCACGTGACGGAAATTGTCGAAGACGATCGATATCCGGTCGACGAAGTCGTCATAGAAGAAATAAAAGAAGACAAACCTGAGGGTAAAGAAGTTGTCGTTAAAGACGTCGTTGAGAAAAAACGCTCGGCTAAAAAATCCCTGGAAGTAATCAAAGAGGATGATCGAAAACCCGACGACGAAAGAAATTTGGTGATAATTAAAAGAAGAAGGAAAATTATCGAATCGTCCGACACGGGAAAAAGAATAAAAGAATCCGAGGAGGAATTCCCGAAGGAAAATATTCCAAACGATCTCACTCTTACGGAATACCTCGAAAAAGAAACGAAAAGCGAAACGACTTTCCTCGATGACAACGTAAAAAAAGAAGACGAAAAAGTAACGGAAAAAATATTGAAAGAAACGGGTAACGTTATCACGATTAAAACGAACAAGAGAAAAATAGATGACCTTGAAAAAGTACTACCGGAATTACCGACTGAACATAAGGTGGAAAAACTAAAGGAGGACACTTTCGAAGAGGAAACGACGGAAGTCAAAGACAAGAAAACGGGGAAAACATTATTGGTGAAAAGAAAAATTAAAAAGCAAAAGAAACCGGAAGAAAAAACTGAAGAAATTTTATTCGACGAAACGATAGTTCATCCTCTCGAAGACTTGACTAAAATCAAACCTCGCGACGACAGGAAAACATTATTTAAACCGACCGTTCAAGAAATAACGTGGGAAGAAATCACGGAAGAAAAAGTGCCGGAAAAAGTTGAAAAACACGTCGGTAAAAAACTCGTGGAAGAAAAACACGAAATATCAGAAGTGAAAGAAACGAAAACCGGAAAAGTTGTCGTCATAGACAAAAGAATCAAAACGGTGAAAACGGATGATGATGAAAAAAAAGTAACGGACGAAGAATTCGTGCGAGAGGAAACGACCGACGTGTACGACAAATCGACAAACAAAAATTTACTAAAAACGAAAAAAATAATGAAAATCAAAACGCCGAAAGAGGAAAAACCGGAAACGAAATTGGAAAAAGTAAAACCCTTGAAAGTATTTATAATAAAAAAGAAAGCGAGAAAAACGAAAGGATTGAAAACCGTTGAAAGCGAAGCCGTTTTACCGGAAATAAAAGTTCCCGTCGACACCAACCTGGAAGAATTCGCTAAAGAATTGGTTGATGTTAAACCCGAGGAAGCGCCCAGGGAAAAACCGCAAATCGAAGAAATACACGAGAAAAAATTAAAGGAAACGGGAAAAATAATAATAATGAAAGTAAAATTGAGGAAAATCGATGACGTCAAAGAAAAGAAAAAATTATTGGAAGAACATCCCTACGTAAAGGAAATCGTTAATGAAAAACCCGACGAAGGAAAACCGGAAGACAAACCTCAGCCCGTTCTCATATTCGAAGAAACGACGGAAGTCGTCGATAAAAATTCCGGAAAGACATTGATGACCGTTAAAAAATTAAAAGTCAGAAAACCTAAAAAACCGGAAGAGAAACCAGTTGACGAGTACGAAATTATCACGAAAGAGGTCACTCAATTCGGCGATGAAGAGAAAACGATTCCGACTCGAGATGCGGAAAAAATGAAAAGTCCCGTCAAACCTCGAGAAGAAATAAGTTTGGATGAAATTGCCGAAGAGAAGAAACCAGAATTAAAATCACCGGATGAGGGAAAAATTATCGAAGAAACGGAAGAAACGACGGAAGTGAAAGAAAAATTTACCGACGAAGCCGTTTTGGTACGTTTGAAAACCGTAAAAAAATTAAGAAAATTAAAAGAACCCAAACGAGATGACAAGAAAGTATTGATTCGCTTTTCGAAAACGAAGAAAACAATTCAAGTCGAGGTAATCGTTGAGGAAACGATCGAAATAACGGAAGTGAAAACGGGTCGAATCCTATTTAAAAAAGACAAAACGAAAAAGGAAAAACGTGACGAAATTGAAGAAAAAGAAAAAATGAAATATTTCATCGTAAGGAAAAAATTGAAGAAAAATATCGCACCCATAGGAAAGATAGAAGAAAGGGAAGAAGTTTTACCGGAAATTCCCGTTCCGGAAGATGCAACACCTGAAAATTACGCTTTGAGTTTAATCGAACCGCAAGTCACGGAAGCGGATGACAAAGAGACCAAACCTAAAAAAGAAGAAATAACCGAAATGAAAGACAAAGAAACCGGACGAATCGTCACGATGAGAAAAATAAAAAGGATAAAACCTTCAAAGGATAAACCGGAAGAAAAAGACGATGTTAAAATCGAAGAAGAAGAAACGGAAGTGATTGATAATAAAACTCGGAAAATATTAATGACGACGAAAGTCATCAAAAAGGTAAAACCGAATAAGATGAAATTCGGGCCGGCGAATGAAGAAATCATAGAAGAAGAAGTACTGGAATTTCCGACTCCCTTCGATTCCGAAAAGGATAAACCTGACAAATTGAAAGAATCCAAAATACCGGAAATGAATATTAAAGAATTACCAAAAAAAACGTTTAAACTCGTCAAACCGGATAAAGTTAGCGACGAAGAAACCGTTTTGAAAATAGACGAAACGATTGAGGTGAAAGAGAAAAACACATTGAACGCGGCAGTCATAACGATGAAAAAATTAAGAACGATAAGAAGACCCAAACAAAAACCGGATGACGTTCAAGTCGTGGAAACTTTAACGACGGAAGTGACGAATAAAGAAACCGGAAAAATCATCGCCGTGAGGAAAAATTTCAAAAAGGTAAAATTGACGGACGAAGAAGAAAAAATAACGAAACGTAAGAAAAAAATCAAAGTTGAAAAGAAAATCAATAAATTTTTCGACGATAAAAAACGAATGGAAGAATTCGAAGAAGTTTTACCGATAATCGAAGTACCGGAAGAAACTACGTTGGAACAATTCGCTCGAGAAATAACCAACATCGAAGAAACGGAAACGATTCCGTTTGAAGAATTGAAAGAAAAACCTGTGGAAAAAATTCTGAGAGAAACCGGAAACGTCGTTCTCGTCGTCGAAAAAGAAAGAAAAATTGATTTTGCCGAAATTCAAACTATTTTACCACGAAAAGTCATTGACGACAGTAGAAAGAAATCCTTTGTCGAAGAAATAACGGAAGTGAAAAATAAAGAAAATGGTGAAATCATCGTTAAGAAAAGGAAAATTAAAGAAATACAAAAAGATGATGATGAAAAGAAACCCATCGTAAAAGAATTACTTACGGAAATACTTAAAAAAGAACCTGAGAAAACGAGTGACGACGAGAAGAAAAAAGTCGGGAAACCTAAAAAAGTTCCCAAACTTGAGGAAATTATCTTGGAAGAAATAACCGAAGAAAAGAAACCGGAAAAGACCGATGATAAACCGTTGCGCGGCGCACCGACGGAAGAAAAACCAGTCGAGGAAATAAACGAAATTACGAAAATCACAGAACCATTGACGGCAAAAACAATTTTGGTTAAGAAGAAAACGAGAAAATACAAAGTCGTCGAAAATATCGAAAAACCGGAAAAACCAAAAAAAGCGGACGAAGAAAAATTAGTTCAAGAAGAAATAATAGATGTCGTGGATGAGAAAACGGGTAAAGAAATCTTAAGTAAAAAACAAGTGAAAATAATACCTTTGGAAACGACGGAAGAGGAACAACCGGATAAACTCGATCAGATGACAAAATTGAAAAAGATCATTGTTAAAAAACCCGTGAAAAAAATCGAACGGAAAAAACCGGAAAAGTCCGAAAAGGTACCCGAGAAGGATGATAAACAAGTTATTCAAGACCTTGTTAAAACCATAATTAAAGTCGACGAGGAAAAAGGAGTCGAAGAGGAAAAAGTCGAAGAAGAAGAAGAAGAGACGACGGAAAAAACCATCGAAGACGCGGGCGGTGCCGTCGTCGTCATAAAAAAGAAAACGAAAAGTTTAAAAGTTAAACCGAAAATTTTAAAAGGAATTCTTGATGACGTCACCGAACCGATCTATGACGAAGTAAAAGATTTAAAGGAAGAAAAACCGATGGAAGAAAGGGCAAAAGAAGATTTCACGATCAAAGAAGAAATAACGGAAGTCAAAGAGAAGGGGACGGGAGAAGTCGTGGTCGTGAGAAAGAAAATTAAAAAAGTTAAAAAATCGAAAAAACCGGAAAAAGAACCGGAAGAGGAAGTTTTATTCGACGAAGTCGTTGAATTTTTCGGCACGGAAACGAACCTTAAAATTCCAATCGAAGAATCTTTGGACGATTTGAAACCGTTAAAAGTTAAAGAAATCGGATGGCAGAAAATCACAAAGGATGATGGGAAATTAATGAAACCGGATGAAGAAACGAAAGATTTAGTAAGAGTTGAGATCGTAAATGATAAACCGGAAACGACGGAATATGTCGATGAGGAAAGTGGAAAAGCAGTGGTCGTGACGAAAAAAGTTAAAAAATTAAAAACCATCAAAAAGAAGATAGAACCTAAAACGGAAGATAAACCGAGAGATAGAGTTGATGATGATGATGACGTAAAAGAAAAAGAGGAAGTAGAGGAAGAAGAGGAAACTGTCGAAATCAAGGATAAAGACACTGATAAAATAGTAGCCACTAAAAAAATTGTTAGAAAACGTAAAACGGACGACCTCGAAAAACCTCAGCATCCCGAAACTTTGGTTAAATTCAAACCGAAAGACGAAAAACCGGAGGAAACGCTTTTAGACGTCATCAGTAGATTGAAATCCGTTAAACCGAGCGAAGAACAACCTGAAAGTACGGAAGAAAAAGACTCGGATTTAACAATTAAATTAAAACCGACGTTAGAAAAACCGGAAGAAACCGATAAAAGGAAACCTGATTCGAAATATGATGACGTGGAAAAACCATTCAAAAAACCTAAAACTCCGAAGCCGAAAGAAAAAACGATTCACAAAGCCAAAGTCGAAATAGAGGAACTCATGACGGAAGTAACAGAAGATACTTTGCCGGATGAATTTATCACTGTCGTGACTACGGTGGAAAAAAGAGGAAATTTGAACGTCGCAAAGAAAACGATAACGACAGAAGAAAAGGATAAAGTTAAGAAGACGACAAAGATAACAACTCACGTCGACGAAAAAGTTAACATTCCAAAAATGGTCGAAATCGAACAGGAAACGGCCGAAGAATTTACCGTCGATAAAATCACACCGTGGAAAAACAAAGTTCGCGTCACGAAAGTCACGTTAAAAGATGGTAAACAAACGGAAGAAACGAGCATCAAACCCGTTGAATACCTCGAACAAATGATTCGCTCGTGCACGGTCGAAACGATACCGGAAGAAGAAAAAGACGAAGTGAAAGATTTCGACGAAGTAAAACCGGAAGAGGAAATGATTGAAGAAGTTAAAATTTACCGAAAAGGTTCTCTCGTGAGAAAAGATAAAGTTAAGTTAAAGAAAACTCCGCGAAACGATGAAAAACAACAAAACGTCACGGTCATACTACAACCGGAAACGAACGAAATAAAACATTTGGAAGTGAAAACGTTCGACAAACAACCCGTCGAACCGCCGCAACACGCCGCGAAAATCGACGACGATAAACCCAAAGAAATAACGATCACGAGAGAAACAATTTTGGACCAACCGGATAAAGTTAAAAAGCGTAAAAAAATTATTAAGAAAACCGGGGATCGGTTAACGGAAACCGTTTCGACTCGCGTTTTGAACGAATCTCGAGAAGTTTCGTATCCGGTCGTGGAAGAAATAACGGAGGATTATCCGATTCTAAGCGAATTGAAACAATTTCACGCGCCAAAATTTAACTTGTTGGAAAATGCTTCGGTTAGCGAAATAGTAACGGAAGAAGAATTTATAACGCATTTCAAAGACGAAACAAAAGTCACGAGTAAAGCGGTTGTCGATAAACCCGATGGAAAATTCACTCAAACGGTTACGTTGACGTTTAAACAAAGTCGTAAAATGCCCGATCTTATCGAATTCGAAACGGAAACTCCCGATGAATTCGTCACGGAAAAAGTCACATTTCAAACGGCTAAAAAAATAACGGAAACAAAAACACTACAAAAAGCAACACCGCAAATCACACAAATCAAAACATCCGAAACAAAGATAAAACCCGATGACGAACGGAATTGGGAAACACTTAAAAACACGCTTGAAAACATCGTTGCGTCAGATGATGCACCCGTTAAAGACACGAAACACGACACAAAACCCAAAACAAAACACTCTGTTAAACCCTCCATTAAAGCGGAGGAACAGAAAAAAAAGCCAGAACAAAAAGATGACAAAAGGCAAACACCAACAACAACAACAACAACACAGGAGCTCAAACCGAAATTGTTTTCGGCTAACATACAAGAATTAAAACCCGATGAACAATTCATAAACTCACAAATTGACTTTTCAGAATTAACAACAACAAAAGCAAAAAAATCAGTTACAGCCACTGAATCCCTAACGCAAAGTAATGTATTTGATTTGGCACAAATAGTAACGGAACAAGTAGAAGAAGCGCAAATCGATTCGAGGAGATCGAGTATCGCTGAAGTTGTTGAAATCGTACATCAATTTAAAACGACAACAACGGATTCGGGAGAGGAAATAACTCAAACGAAAACAGTTAGAAAGAAAAAATCGGGAAAAGTTGTTTACACGGAAGAAAGTAAAGACGAGGGAGTCATCGTGGAGGAAGTCATTGAAGATGACACGCCCACACCGACGACGACGGCGACGGTGATTGAAGATGAAAAACCTAAAAAGAAAACGATCAAGAAAAGGATAATTAAAAAGGGTAAAGAAGTCGAAGAAATAATCGTGGAAGAAGAATTGCAAAAACCTCAAGACACTTCCACTTCCGAATTGGTCATCAAAGAATTGACGACGGTCGAAGAAGGAGTTTTGGAAAATTACGAAGAAACGAAACCCACCGTCGAAGAAGCTCCCGAGGATAAAGTCAAACCCGAAGAAGATGAAGAAAAACCGGAAAAGATTAAAGAGGCCGTCGTCGAAGAAAAGAAAAAATTAAAACCCAGCATTAAAAAACCCGTTGAAAAAACTTTGGACATCAAAAAAGCTGAATCCGTAGAGGATGCGCCGGACAAGGAAAAATTAGAAAAGATCAAACAGAAGAAACCGGATCAAGATAAAGCGAAATTAATTCCGGACGTTGCCGAAGAAGTTGTCGCCACTGAAACCGTAGCGTTCCACGACAGCGAAGAAACCGTTTCGGTACACGTTGAAGAAGAAACAGTCCAAAAGAAGAAAGTCACTTTTGCGGAAGTGAAGGAAGTGAAAATATTACAAGGTGATGAGGTATCGCTTGCAACGGTTGAACTCGACGAAAAAATATCTAAAAAATTGAAGGTCAAAAAGCCCAAAGAGGAGAAAACGAAAGAAAAACCGGAAGAAGATAAACCGGAGACTGCCGAAGAAGTTCCTGAAACTCCTGAAGAAGTTGTTAGTACGGAAGAATTAGAAGATAAAGCGAATTTCGGTAAACTTTTTACTAGCATTTTGGGTAAAGTTAAAACTCCGGAAGAACCGAAAAAGAAGAAAGTTATCAAGAAAGTTAAGAAAACAAAATCGGATGAATTAAAGGATTTGATTGATAGCGAAAAAGACGAAGTTGAAAAATTACCGGAAGAAAAACCAACTGAAAAAGAAGAACCGACTCAAGACCAACCTAAGGAAAAACCAGAAGAAGTTCTAGAAAAACCAAAAGATGAAGATGACAAACAAGATAAACCAAAAGTAGTAAAGAAAAAGCCAACTAAACAAGAAGAAGAAAAAGTACCCGAGATTGCAGATGTCAAACCGGAAGAAAAGCCAGAAGAAAAACCTGAACAGCCAAAGGACGAAGAGGAAAAGAAAGAAAAGCCCAAATTAGTCAAGAAGAAACCAACTAAAAAAGAAGAAGAAGAAAAGGTTCCCGAGGTTGCAGAGTTGAAACCGGAAGAAAAACCAGAAGACAAACCAGAAGACAAACCTGAAGAAAAACCGAAGGACGAAGAGGATAAAAAGGACAAACCTAAATTAGTCAAGAAGAAACCAACTAAAAAAGAAGAAGAAAAGGCTCCTGAGGTTGCAGAGGAAAAACCAGAAGACAAACCGGAAGAAAAAATTGAAAAAGTTCCAGAGAAACCAAAGGATGAAGATGACAAACAAGATAAACCAAAAGTAGTAAAGAAAAAGCCAACTAAACAAGAAGAAGAAAAAGTACCCGAGGTTGCAGATGTCAAACCGGAAGAAAAACCAGAAGATAAACCTGAAGACAAACCTGAAGAAAAACCGAAGGACGAAGAGGAAAAGAAAGAAAAGCCCAAATTAGTCAAGAAGAAACCAGCTGAAAAACAAGAAGAAAAAGTACCGGAGGTTGCAGGTGTCAAATCGGAAGAAAAACCAGAGGAAAAACTTGAAAAAGTTACAGAGAAACCAAAGGATGAAGAGGATAAAAAGGACAAACTTAAAGTGGTTAAGAAGAAACCTACCAAGAAAGAAGAAGAAGAAAAAGTACCCGAGGTTGAAGATGTCAAACCGGAAGAAAAACCAGAAGAAAAACCTGAAAAACCGAAAGACGAAGAGGACAAGAAAGACAAACCTAAATTGGTTAAAAAGAAACCTAAAACACCATCGGAAGAAAAACCTCAAGTTATCGATGAAGATGAAAAAGAAATTAATCGGGACGTTAAGGCGGTCATAGCAGAAGTTGTAGGCAGACACTTAAAACCTGAAAAAGAGGAAGATGATGAAACTCCCAAAGAAGACGAAGAAACTCCAACGGTTAAAGAGGAGGAAGAGGAAAAAATCAAAGACAAAAAACCGAAGAAAATAATCAAAAAGAAAAAATCTAAAGAACTTACCGAAGAGATAAAAGCAACAACGGAAGACAAGCCAAAAGAAGAAGATGAAGTTCCCGAAGAAAAACCCAAACTGGAAGACGTTCCTCAAACGGAGGAGACTGAAAAACCAAAAGAAGATGAAATCTCGGAGGAAAAACCGGAAGACAAACCGTCGGAAAAACCTAAAAAGAAAATAATCAAAAAGAAAAAACCGGAAGATGTCAAACCGGCAGAAGTCGACGAATCGAAACCGGAAGAAGAAGTTAAACCCGAATCCGAATCGCCGGTCGAACAGGTCAAACCCGATGAAAAACCGGAAATCGTAGAAGAAAAACCAAAGGAAGATGATAAGAAACCGGAAGAACCCGTTAAAAAATTAAAAACTCTCAAAAAACCCGATGAAAAAATCACTCCCGAAACGGAAAATTTCGAATCCCTTAAATCGAAATTAAAACCCGTTAAAGACACACGCGAAACGGAAACGGAAGTTGTTCAAAAACCAAACGAAACTTTAGATGATGAAAAGAAAAAACTTAAAAAAGTCCCAGAAACAAATGAAACGGAACCCAAAGAAGATTCACCACTCAAAACAGATACACACAAAAAGCCTAAACAAAAACCAAATGAAACAACCAATGAAAATGAACTTGAAACAATCAAACTCAAACCTACAACACAACCGAAACCGAAAAAGCCTAAAGAAGATGATGAATCACAACAGCCCGGTAAGCTTTATATATATATATAATACAATTATACTTATTTATATTAATTTAAAACATGTTTAAACCCCCCGCCCCCGCCCCCTGGTTGTTATATAAAACTTATACAAACGTATTTCCTTTTCCTTTTTTTTGATTTTTAATTTAAAAAAAAAAAAAAAGTTTAGAAAAGGTAAGTAAGTTTGTTGTTTAAAAAAAAAAATTATTAACTTATTCTAAATATTTAAGCAAATAATTATTATCCCTAACGGGGGAACCATTAAATTTAAGATAATTAAATTAGAATTTAAGAAAAAAAAAAAAAAAAAAAGCATAATTAACAATTGTTTCACATAAAATTGTTTTAACACATTACAGACACTGAAAAAACAAAACACACACACACAAAATTATCACGAGACACAACACAAACACACAAACAACGCACAGAAACAATTGAAAATGAATTAAATGTTTTAAAATCGTCGAATGATACTTTATCGAAAACGGAAATTATTAGCGAAATGGGAGAAAGTGTTTCCTTATCTGTCGATGTCTCGGAAATAACACCAAAGGAATCCACCGATAAAATCGAAGACAAGGAAAAATTATCAAAACCAGACGAGCTGAAAGAAAAACCGGAAAAAATATTGAAGAAACCGGAAGAAAAACCAAAGGATGAAGATGATAAAAAAGACAAACCTAAAGTGGTTAAGAAGAAACCTGCCAAGAAAGAAGAAGAAGAAAAAGTACCCGAAGTTGCAGGTGACAAACCGGAGGAAAAACCAAAGTACGAACAGGATAAAAAGGACAAATCTGAAGTAGCAGAGAAAAAATTTACCAAGGACGAAGAAAAAGTACCAGAGGTTGTAGATGTCAAATCGGAAGAAAAACCTGAAAAACCGAAAGACGAAGAGGATAAAAAGGGCAAACCTAAAGAGATTAAGAAGAAACCTACCAAGAAAGAAGAAGAAAAAGTACCCGAAGTTGCAGGCGACAAACCGGATGAAAAACCAGAAGAAAAACCTGAAAAATCGAAGGACGAACAGGATAAAAAAGAAAAACCTACATTAGTCGAGAAGAAACCAACTAAAAAAGAAGAAGAAGAAAAGGTTACTGAGATTGAGGAGTTGAAATCGGAAGAAAAACCAGAGGAAAAACTTGAAAAAACATCAGAGAAACCGAAAGATGAAGGTGATAAAAAGGATAAACCTAAATTGGGTAAAAAGAAACCAACTCAAAATGAAGATGAAAAAATACCAGAAATTACCAGCCGGAACAAACCGGAAGAAAAACTTCAAGAAATTCTAGAAAAACCAAAGGACGCCGATGATAAACAGGATACGCCCGAAACACTAAAAGAAAAACCAACTAAACAAGCAGATGAAAAAGGAATTGAAGTTACCGAAACTCAACCGGGTGAAAAACCAGAAGAAAAAATTGAAAAAGTTCTAGAGAAACCAAAAGATGAAAAAGTGGATAAAGAAAAACCTAAATTAATTAAAAAGAAACCAACGACTAAAAAAGACGAAAAAATAACAGATGACACGGAAATCAAACTACAAGAAAAAATTGAAGAGGTTTCAGAAAAACCAAAGGATGAAGATGATAAACAAGATAAACCTAAATTAATAAAGAAAAAACCAATAAAACAAGAAGAAGAGAAGCTAACTGACGTTCCGGAAAGTAAACCAGAAGAACAACCTGAAAAACCGAAGGACAAAGAGGAAAAGAAAGAAAAACCCAAATTAGTCAAGAAGAAACCAACCAAACAAGAAGAAGAAGAAAAAGTTCCCGAGGTTGCCGAGATGAAACCGGAAGACAAACCACAGGAAAGACCGGAAGAAAAATTTGAAAAAGTTCCTGAGAAACCAAAGGAAGAAGAAGATAAAAAGGACAAACCTAAAGAGATTGAAAAGAAACCTACCAAAAAAGAAGAAAAAGTACCCGAGGCTCCAGATGTCAAACCGGAAGGGAAATTTGAAGAAATTCCAGAAAAAGTAAAAGATGATGATAAAAAAGATAAGGTGGAATTGATTAAGGAGACACCAACTCAGGAAGAAGATGGAAAAATAACGGATGTACCTGACAGTAAACCAAAAGAAGAAAAACTTGAAGAAATTTCAAAGAAACCGAAAGATGAAAAGGAAAATCAGAAAAAACCTAAAATAATTAAAAAGAAACCAACTAAGAAAGAAGACGAAAAAGTAGGCGACGAAACCGAAATTAAACCAAAGGAAAAACCTGACGAAATACCAGAGAAAGAAAAAGATGAAAAAGAAAAACCAGAGAAATTAAATTTTGAGGATGATAAACAGGATAAAGTTGAATCGGCTGAAAAGAAACCGAGTGAGGATGAAAAACCAAGTGAAATTAAACCAGCGGATAAACCTGAAAAAATACCAAATGAAATACAGGATAAGCCGAAACTTATAAAAAAGAAAATTACGAGTGGAAAAGATGAAAAAGTAACAGATGATTCGGAATTTAAACCACAGGAAAAAATTGAAGAGGTTTCAGAAAAACCAAAAGTAGTAAAGAAAAAACCAACTAAACAAGAAGAAAAGACAACTGAGGATTCGGAAAGTAAACCGGAAGAAAAACCTGAGGAAATTTTAGAAAAGCCAAAAGATGAAGATGATAAAAAGGAAAAACCTAAATTAGTTAAGAAGAAACCAACTAAAAAAGAAGAAAAGATCCCAGAGGTTTCAGAGTCGAAACCGGGCGAAAAACTAGAAGAAAAACTTGAAAAAGTTCCAGAGAAACCAAAGGATGAAGAAGATAAAAAAGAAAAACCTAAAGTGGTTGAGAAGAAACCTACCAAGAAAGAAGAAGAAGAAAAGATTCCTGAGGTTGCGGAGTTGAAACCGGAAGAAAAACCAGAGGAAAAACCGAAGGACGAAAAGGATAAAAACGATAAACCTAAATTCGTTAAGAGGAAACCAACTAAAAAAGAAGAAGAAAAAGTACCCGAGGTTGCAGATGTCAAACCGGAAGAAAAACCTGAAAAACCACAGGATGAAGTTGATATGAATGACAAAGAGGATAAACCTACATTGGACGTAAAACCAAAAGAAAAACTTGATGAACTACCGGAAAAATCAAAAGAAAAAGATGATAAACCTGAATTACTTAAAAAGAAACCAACTCAAGGGGAAGACGAAAAAATACCTCAAGTTACCGAAATGAAACCGGAGGAAAGTAAGAAAATAAAACCTGAAAAACCAAAAGAAGATGTCGTGAAAGACGCAGTACCTGTACCAACCGATAAAGTTGATGACGTAACGTTAAAAGAAAAAACTGAAAAAGGCAGTGATAAACCGAAAGATGTTAAAGGAAAGGATGATAAGGATATGAAACCGTCTGGTGAGCAAAAAGAAATTTCATCGGGAATGCCTGATAAAAAGCCGGAAAAGAAACTTGAGAATAACCAAGAAAAACCGGAAGTATCCGAATTAACAAAGGACGAAAAAATTAAACCTAAAATTTATACCGATAAGGAAGAAAAACCGAAAGAAAAACGAGGTAAATTAGATTCGGATAAAAGGGATAAACCGTCGTTGGAAAAATCAGGAGAAATCGACGATTTGATTAATACACCATCACACGATAACACAACACATATCACACCACAACAAACAACATTTGATGAAAACACACAAAAAACATTGATCACACAACAACCACAACAACAAACAAGTAAGAAATTCACGCTAAATTATTATTTTTTTTTTTTTTTGCTTTTTCATTTAATTTTCGTCAACAAAAAAAAATTTTTTGCTTATTAAAATTTTATTTTCATAGCTAAAAAAGATGAGGAAAAAATAAAACCGGTTGAGGATAAAGAAGTTCCTTCCGTTGAAGAAACCGACGAAGTCAAAAAAGTTAAAAAACCTAAAAAATTACCGAAGAAAGAAGACAAAGAAGATGAGAAAAAAGAAGTTCCGGATTCGATTCAGCCTTCCGACGAAGAAGAATTACCGGCGGAAGAAGAAAAAGAAGAAAAACCAAAAGAACAACCCGGAGAAGAAAAAGTCGATGAAAAATCCGATAAGCCGAAGGAAAAAACTAAAAAAGTCGTCAAGAAAGTCGTCAAGAAGAAAAAAGTCACAGAAGAAAAGAAAGATGATGACATTTTCGATTTTGATTTCGACGATGATTACGAAAGGCCCGTCCTTGAAAAATACGAGCCTTTGTTCGAGAGAAAACCGTCAGTTAAAAAGACGAAACCTGAAAAGAAAACTCCGGAAATACCCGAAGCCATGAAAGTCAAATTGGAACCTTCCAAAATCGAAATGAAAAAAGTTGAAGTTAAAAAATTAAAAGTCGAAGAAACTGAAGAGAAACCTCAATTCGCAACCATCAAACTTAAAAAGGCGACGCCTGTTTCGAAACCGGAAATAAAAGAAGTCGAACTTCCCAAAGTCTTATTAAAAAGTAGAATTGTGAGAATTGAATATCCGCCGCAACTTCACACGTGTAAATACACGGACATAAATTGTCCGGAACCCGATAACGGCGTATTATCGCGTAACATCGAAGAAGCCGAAGAAGTGATTGAAAAGAAAAAGAGAAAAGTCAAAAGAATTAAGAAAACCAAATCGGATTTGGAAAAGGTCGACTTGGAATTCGATAAACCTGAACCGAAGGAAAAACCAGAAGAAGAACCGGAAAAAGTTCATTGGGAAAAATTAAAGAAAAAACCAGAAGAAGAAGAACCGCAATCGGTCACGTTAAAAATAGGCAAAGGTAAGGTACCGGAAGTTAAGGAAGAAGTTGAAGAGGTCAAACTTAGGAAAACACCCAAAAAGGCTCCCGAAGTTGAAGAGAAAGAAGAAGAAAAACCGAAAAAGCCGAAAGAAGAAGAAGAAAAACCGAAGGAAGTTAAAAAACCGAAAGAACCGTTGGAAATAAAACCAGATCTGGAATTCAAACCGATTCCAGACGATTCTCTAGATTTAGAAAAACCGGATGAAATTCCAAAGCCAATCAAAGAAAAACCGGAGCCCGAAGAGAAACCCAAAAAGCCAAAGAAAAAAGAACCGAAACCAGCGCCAGAAGAAGAAGAAAGAGTTATACCTCTCGGTAAAGGAAAATTACCAGAAGAACCGGAAGAACCGGAAATAACATTAAGACCTCCTAAACCAAAGCCGAAAGAACCTGAGGAACCTGAAAAAGTCACGTTGAAACCCTTCAAAAAAGAAACGAAAGATGAAGAAAAACCAGAAGAGAAGAAACCTAAAGAAGAAAAAGAAAAAGATGTTAAAAAACCAAAAGATGTCGATGATGACGTTGATAAAACCGTTAAACTTAAAAAGAAACCGAAAAAACGTGATACGGAAGATGAAAAAGGAGAAGCGACGGTTCCGGAGGAAGAAAAGCCCGCCGAAGAAGAAGCACCTGAAGATGTCACGATAAAACCGTTGAAAAAACCAAAGAAAAAACCGACCGAGGAAGAACCCGAGGAAGTTACATTAAAACCAATTAAAAAACCAGAAGAAAAACCGGCTGAAGAAGTTACCGAAGAGGTCACGCTCAAACCTTTGAAAAAACCCAAGAAAGTACCTGAAGAAACCGAAGTCGCAGAGAGCATTACGTTGAAAAAGAAAACGCCCAAACCGGAACCCGAATCGCAACCCGTCGAAGAATCCATCACGCTTAAACCTGTAAAGAAGAAACCAGAGGAAAAAGTTGAAGAAGTTGAGGATGTAAAAGAAGAACTCAGTTTCACACTTCCTAAAAAACCAAAACCCGTCGAAACTCCGGAAGACGTCACGGAAGAAGTCAAAATTAAAAAGCCTAAAAAAATTAAACCGACGGTTACAACGGAAGACGTTGCCGAAGAACTCACGATCAAAAAACCTGAGGAAGATAAACCGGAAGAAGAAGAAGAACAACCCGAAGATGTAGTTCAAGAATTTACACTTCAAAGAAGACCATCTAAAAAATACGTCGTAGAAGACATAAACGAAGAAGTAACAATTAAAAAACTCAAACCGGTCAAAAAGAAGAAAATGCAAGAAATCGATGAAGTTTCCGAAGAGGTAACATTCAAACCCAAAAAAGTCATTCATCAAGAAGACGTCGAACAAGAATTTAAAATCTCTTTGGACGCTTACGAAGAAGAAGAAATTTCAATGTCGAGCAGCATAAAACTTAAAAAACCCAAGAAATTAGTTTTCGGAGAAGAAGCCGCTGAAAACACGGTTAAAATTGTCGAAGAGGTTTCAGATGAAGAAGGACCCGTCGTCGAAGAAATCATAGACGAAGAAGACGACACGAGCGCTCAAGTTTCATTTTCCGAAGAAATAATATCTGAAAAATTCGATTTACCTCTGCGAAAGAAAACGGAAATACGAAAATACAGCATCAGAGACGAAGATGAAAAACAAGTCGTCATAGATTTGGGCAAAAAGAAAAAACCCAAGAAGAAACCCGTCGCGGAAGGATCGGACAACGTCGAGGAAACGTACAAGTTAACACTCAAAGACAACCGGAAATTCAGCGTGTCGAGCATTGACGAAGAAGTTAAAATCGATTTGCGTAAAATTAAACGCGAAGACGACAGCGAATCGAAAGAAGAATCGTTGAAATTGGTATTGAAAAAACCTCGAAGACCTTCCGTTCTTCACGAAGGTATGTGACGTCATTACAATTGTGACGTAATATGATTCCGTAAATGCGTGGTAACCCCTTTTTTATAATTATTCTTGTTGCAGAAGCTGCAGCTCTCAGCATTCGACGAGAAGATGAAATAATCAGAGAAGGTAAAAATGGACGCACGCAAACATTAAACACTCGAACCAAAAATTAAAAAACGAATTCTTCGGTAATAAAAACATTAAAAAATTTATTTTCTTACAGTCTTTGAAGTGCAAGATGGCGACGTCGTATTTTCCATTTGCGTTTACGCGGCCGAAAATGAAGACGCCATGAATTTGGTCGAAGGTGAAAGAGTGACCGTTCTTGACCATTCGAACGAGGAATGGTGGTTGGTTAAAAAACATTTGACGGAAGAAAAAGGATGGGTACCGGCATCATTGCTCAGAGACGAAGTTACCTACGATATTTATTTGCAAAAGAAAATCAACGAAAAAATTGACAAATTACCCATATTCGAAAGTGAGCATCCGTGACGAAAGCAAAAACAAAAAAATGGCCGACGGTAATAAATAATTAATTGCCTTTTGTTTTGTTTCCAGAACCTAAAGATAATGAAAAAGCCAAAGCACCGAAATTTATTAAAAAGTTACAACCGCAAAGTGTTCCCGATGGTACAACGGTACAATTCGAATGTCAGGTTGTTGGTAGTCCGAGACCTCAAATAACTTGGTTCAAACAAACGGCCATAATAAAACCATCACCCGATTTTCAGGTATTTAAAATTTTTTTCTTTTCTTTATTAGTTCTGTAAAACCTTAAAAATAATTAAAATTCGTTCATTTCAGGTTTATTACGACGATGATAACGTGGCGACGCTTATCATAAGAGAAGTATTCCCAGAAGACACGGGTACTTTCACGTGCGTGGCTAAGAATGCCGCCGGATTTGCATCTTGCACCACCGAACTTATGGTCGAAGGACCGCTGACTGATCACGGTTCCGACGATATGTCGAGAATTTCTAGGAAAAGCATGTCTAAAGAATCATCTCTTGCCGATCTTTTAGAAGGCATACCACCAACGTTTGCCAAAAAGCCTAAAACGAAATGCGTCGACGAAGGTTCTGACGTGACGTTGAAATGCGAATTAATAGCCGTGCCCGAACCCGACGTCACGTGGTATCACGACAGACGGGAAGTTTTAACAAAAGACAACGTCAAAGTTATCCACGATTCGACGAAGCAAACATACTCCAGCACGATCAAAATAACGAAAGTCAAAAAGAATCAGGAGGGATTGTATTCCATCGTTGCGAGAAACAGAGAAGGAGAAACGAGAGAAGAATTCATTTTGAAAGTTATAAAGAAAGACGATAAAGAACCGCCATCGATATTGGAACCGTTAAAAAGCGACGTCGTCAAAGAGGGCGACACGATAAAATTAACGACGCAAATTATTGGCAAACCCAAACCTAAGATAACTTGGTCGAAAGATGGTAAACCGGTTAAAAAGGAGCCTTCTAAAGAAGACGACGATTGTTACACTCTTGTCCTATCCAAATCTGAAACTAAAGATACTGGAAAATACATGGTAACGGCGGAAAACGAACTTGGTAAAGCTACAACAATGGCGTTGATCACAGTTGAAGGTTAGTTGGATTTTTTAAATTCGAAAACATTTTTTTTCTCCACCCCAAATGAAATAGTTCTTAAATTTCGTTATTAAAATTTTTAGATGCCGATGAACCGGAACCGCCAATGTTTTTGGAACGATTCGACGAAAAGAAAGTTCCGGAAAAAGGGGTTTTGCGTCTCGAAGCAAAAGTTTCGGGGAAACCGACTCCGAAAGTCACGTGGCTGAGAAACAATGAACCGTTGGAAAAATCGGAAAATGTCAAAGAAACTTTTGATGGTAAAAATATCGTTTTGGAAATCACTGGAGCTGACTCGGAAGTCGATTCTGGAGATTACAAATGCATCGCAACGAATCCACTCGGTAAAGCTTCACACGGTGCCAAAGTTACGGTTGACGTTGCCAAAGTGTAAGTTTTTTCTTTTTTTTCTTTTTACCGTTTCTTTTTTTTAAATAATGACGTCACATTTAAAAAAAAAAAATGTCGTCTTTTTTTTCTTTTAGATCGTTTACTAAAACGTTGGATAAATCATACGAAGAAGACGAACATAATTCTCTCACGCTTGAATGTGAAACTTCTCACACGGTTTCGACGAAATGGTATCACAACAACAAAGAACTCAGCGGTATGGACTACCGGGAAGTTATTCAAGTTGGAAAAGTTCACAAGTTGCACATAAAAAGAACAAAAGTCGTAGACGAAGGAAAATACGAATGCAAAGTGAAAGATCAAAAAACGGAAACGACCGTTAAAATTCATCGTGAGTTTATCGCACATCACACGCCATTACAATGTTCTTATCCCTATCCGTTCGAAACTGAAATATTAATATTAAAAAAAAAAATTTTCTTCCTTTTTCCGACAGCTCGCAAACCGGAATTCGTACGTAAATTACAAGATTTGGAAATAACGGAACGTGAAACGGCAATTTTGGAAGTTGAAGTCACGTCCGACACGGCTGACGTTTCGTGGCAGAAAGACGGTGAAAAAATAGAAGAATTACCCGACAAATTCGTCATAGAAAAGAAAGGAAACCTGAGAAAATTACTAATACGAAACACGTCCGTTCACGATGAGGGAGAGTACACTTGTTCGCTGGACGAACAAGAATGTTCATCCGAAGTCACCGTCGTCGAACTCCCACCGGAAATCATAACGAAAATGAATGATCAAACGATAGCGAAGGGAGAAAAAGCAACTTTTGAAATCGAATTGACCAAAGGTGACGCACTCGTGAGATGGTTCAAAGACGACAAAGAATTGCAATTTTCCGAACACGTTCAATTGTTCATCGACGGCAAAAGGCAAAAATTGAAAATATACAATTCGGAATCGTCCGATGCCGGAATATATTCTTGTCAAGTCGGAAAGCAAAAATCTTCTGCTAGGTTAACCGTCGAAGAACCCGCCGTTCAATTCATTAAACGCCTTCCGAGCGTTACTCTCATACCCGTGAACACGGATGCCGTTTTCGAAGTGGAGTTGAATCCGGACGATGTTCCCGTCAAATGGTACAAAAAAGGAAAAGAAATCAAACCGTCGGATAAATACGTCATATCGTCGTCGGGAAAAACTCGTAAACTCATCGTGAAAGACGCTACCGAAGACGACGAAACCGATTATTCTGTCGTCGCTGCCAACGTTCAAAGTATGTCGCAATTGAAAACGGAAATGGTCGGAACGCCGCCGAAAATAACGCCGGAACAAAAAGAATACAAGGTGAAAGAAAATGACGACGTCACATTGGAAGTTAAATTCACTGGAAAACCACAACCGACGGACGAGTGGACCGTCAACGGAAAAGTCATAAAGAAATCTAAGAAAATGTCTAAAACCGTGACGGAAAATTCTGCGAGTCTCACAATATTCAAAACACAAGAAGAGGACGAGGGTAATTATACCGTCAAGTTAACGAATCCGATCGGAGAAGATTCAACGGAAATTAAAGTTATATTTATGAGTGAGTACCGTCAACGTTTTTGTCTCCTTTTAGTGATCGAAATAAAAATTAAACCTCACTTTAAATTATTTTTCCAGAGAAGCCAAGTACTCCGGGACAACCTAAACTCATTGAATCTGGAGAAGATTACATAACCATTCACTGGAAAGAACCGTCGACCGACGGAAACTCTCCCATAACCAATTACATCGTTCAAATGAAAGAGAAAAACGACGCGACGTGGCAAGATGTTAATCAGACGTACAAAATCACGGATGTCACGCATAAAGTGACGACGATGAAAAAAGATAAAGACTACACGTTCCGAATTGTAGCCGTCAACGACATTGGAAAAAGTGAACCGTCCGATTCGTCCGATTACTTAAAATTGAAAAAGACGGAAATTCAAGAACCTCCGACGATCGTCGACAGTTTAAAAAGCGTCATCGTGTCTCGCAAAGAACAAATCATTCTCTCGTGCGTCGTGAGAGGAACACCCAAACCGGAAGTCACTTGGTACAAAGACGAGAAAATGTTCAAGAGTAAATCGATAACTTTCGAGAATTGCGTCGCCAGATACGAAATACCCGAAGCCAAAGAAACGTCGAGCGGCGTGTACAAGGTTCGTGCTAAAAATGACGCCGGCGAAGCGGAAACGACGTGCACGGTAAAAGTACAAGAACGACCGGAAATCGAAATTGACGATTCTCTGGTATCGCAAAAATTACGAGTCAACAATCAATGGAAAGTCGTCACCAATTACAAAGGCTATCCTCAACCCGACATCGAATGGAATAAAAACGATGTGGAAATTCAAAGTGACAAACACTGCAGCATTTACACGGACGAAAAAACGACGACGATTGCCATATATTCCCTTCAAAGAGAAGATTCTGGAACGTATCAAGTCACGGCTAAAAACGAAGCCGGAAAATGTTCCGCTCAAATCAACCTTAAAGTCATCGGTAAGAAATTTTCTTTTCTTTCTTTCTTTCTTTCTCCATTCATTTATTTACATTTTTATTTCTCCGTGACACTTTTCATCAATTAATTTTAATTTTTTTTTATTTACTTTCGAGAATCGGAAAATTTCACCCAAGTACAAACACAATTAGATAAAATCTTAGAAGAAATTATTGGTAAATACCAATCAATCAATCATTCATCGGTTTATTGATTTTTTCATTTCGAACAAAACAAACAAACAAACATTTCTAAATTTTTTCTTTTTTCGAAAGTTTTTGTAGAGTTTTTTAATGAACGATACACACACACGGACACACGTGTACGCACAAACACACACACACACACTCACACGTGTACACACAAACACACCCACACGAAATTTTTTTTTAAAGTAAATGTTCTCATTGCACTTTCACAATCACGTTTTACAACGATGACGTAATTGACAAACAAATTTACTACGAATGCATGATTCCGAGTAAAAAAAAATTTCGAAATTTACGTTACTCAATAACTTTATGTCACATACACAAAAGACGCGCACGCACGCACACACACGAATCGTACACGCACGCGAGAAGTTTATCATCATCGATTGATACTTTGTAAAAACCGTCATCGTCGTCGTCGTCGTCGTCGTCGTCGAATTAAATAATTAATTTTTACTTTGTTTTCCAGATAAACCTCAAAAACCGGAAGGACCCCTGGTTATTAAAGACGTACAAAAAGATTCTGTCGTCATCGCGTGGAAACCTCCTTTGGACGACGGCGGTTTGGACATATCCAGGTACTCGATCGAAAAATGCGATTCGAAAAAGAAAATATGGATGAAAGTGGCGGAAGTTGAAAGTGACGTCATGACTTATTGCGTACAAAAATTACAAGAAAATGCCGAATACATGTTTAGAGTTTTTGCGGAAAATCCAGTTGGAATGTCGGAGCCGTTGGAAAGTGAAATGGTATCGCTAAAGAGTCCTAGCACGATAGGTAAATTAATATAGGGTTTTTGGTTTTTTGTTTTTTTGCGATTGGCATCACTGTCAAATCCTTATAAATACGATTTGTTTTTATCAGAACGACCGTCACCGCCGAGAGGTCCTCTGGAGGTATCGGGAATGTTGAAAACATCATTTAAAATACACTGGCAACCGTCCGAAAGCGATGGTGGTTCGCCTATACAATGTTACGTTGTCGAAAGAAAAGAAGTTGGCAAAACGAAATGGCAAAAGGTAGGTAGCCGTCTCCCCTTTTTAAATCATGGAGTTTTAGTAATAATAATAATAATAACACGTTTGTAATTTCTTTCGTTTCAGACTGGAACGACCGAACGCGACGTAACACATTTGGAAATAAAAGATTTGACGATAAATACTTCATGGAATTTCCGTATAACAGCGGTGAACGCGGCTGGAGTAAGCGATCCTTTCACACCGAGTGATTCAATCACAACCGGAAAGAGTAAAAGTAAATTCATCATCATTATTAATACTACTGTTTTCTTCTCCCCCCCCTCCCTTGAATTCTTTCAGTCATTCATTCATTCATTTCAACAAACGAAATTTTATAATTTTTTTAAAGGTGCTCCATCACCTCCGAGAAATTTTTCACCGATCGATGTTACGAGTCGATGCGTGACACTTCAATGGTCGCCACCGGAAAGCAACGGCGGTTCCGACGTCACCGGATACATACTCGAAAGAAAAGAAAATTCCGACGAGACTTGGACGAAAGTCGTCACCCTAGACTCAACCGTTTTACAATACAGAGTGGAAAATCTACGGGAAAAGAGCGAATTTTATTTTAGAGTTTTCGCGGAAAATGTCGTCGGCATGAGTCCGCCGGCAACGACGGATCTCGTCTGCTTGAAAACTCATGCCAGTAAGTTGACCGACCTACCTACCTACCGACCTACCAACCAACCCTTTTACCTTTTACCCGCGACGACGACCCGTGTACTGTGTGGGGGTAAAATTACAAAACGAAATTTTTTTATTTCTTTTTCAGCCGTTCCATCGCCGCCGACTGCACCCTTAGAAATACGAAGCATCGGTCCCAACAGCATAATAATCGAATGGGGCATACCCGTCTCGGATGGAGGATCACCGCTTAAAGGCTACACAATCGCCATCAAAGACAAACTCAAAACGATGTGGATGCAAGTGGGAAAAGTCAACGCGGATGTACAAAAATTAACAATAAAAGACTTACAGGTACAGGCAAAACAATCTCACTCGATTCGCGCCATAAACAAATTTGACCTTTTAACCTTTCATCTCTCTTTCTCTCTCTTTACACAGGAAAATCACGAATACTCAATTCGAATTTTCGCTCGAAATGAAATCGGCCTGAGCGAACCTCTTGAATCCGAAGAACCATTCCAGGTGCTTAGACCCTCAGGTACGTACCACTACTCAATATACATTTCGACATTTTTAAAACAACATTTTCCGCCATTTTGTATTTTTTTTTTTTTTTTTCGTTTGTTTTGGGGTACCCCTCTTACAGTTTACGAAGAAGAAGATATTAAAGCAGAACTCACCGAAAAAGATACTCCGTCGATAAGTTTCAGCACGGAAACGACGACATCTTGGATGAAAGAAGCCGGAATGGATGCAAGCATAAAATCCTACGCCAAAGGTTCACTCTTGAGAAAAGACGAATACTTTTTCCGGATATGGCACTACGCAAAAAAATTATTTAAATAATTATTATTATTATTAGTCAAGAACGAAAAAGGAAAATTCCGGCACAAAAGAAAAGCTAACAGGAAAATGGAAAAGGAAGAAGAAAAGAAAACGTTGGAAAATCAGTTCCCTGATGATTTTCCTTTTTCCAACCCTTCTTTCCTTTTCCTTCTTTTCCTAATACAAAAATTCACTTTCGACGTAAAATGGAAGGTGCGTCGTAAGTGAAACAAACAACAACAACAACAACAATTTTCATTTTCGAATGTTTTAGAAAAACCGTGCTGCTTGCTTACGTCATAAAAATAAAACATAATCATCATTATCATTAAAGTTTTGCTTTAAATAATTTTTTTCTTTCCTTTGTTAATCGCAGATAAACTTTTTTCCTTTATTATTATTATTATTATTATTATTATTATTATTATTATTATTATTATTATTATTATTATTATTATTATTATTTTTCAAAAAACTTATTTGTTAACGTCATCAATTTGATGTTAAACGTTTATATTATTTTCCTCATTATTATTATAATTACCTTTTTACATATATATACAAATAAAAATTTTTGAAAAAAAAAAAAAAAAAAAAAAGTTTTTCTGTGATATTATGAAACGAAATGTTTTTTTTTTTTTTTTTGCCTTATATATATTTTTAATAATAATAATAATAATAATAAATATATATATTTATATGTATTTATGATTCAAACGATTATTTTTTATTTATTCCCTCTTTTTTTTTTTTTTTATTCATTCGTTCGTTCATTTTGATTATTTTATTGTAATGATAATAATAATAATAATAATAATGATGGATTGAAAATACAAAAAAGCAATAATAATAACAATAATAATAATAATTACGGGAAATAAATATTTACACGTGCGAAACCTATAGAAAATTTTTTTGAACGCCCGAATTTTTCAAATTATGCAATCCGCCAAACGTTAATTAAAAAAAATTAAAAATTTAAAAGTTTTTTGTTGTTGTTCGAATTTGAATTTTTCTTTTTCGTCTTTCTATTGACACGTTGATTTCATTTACGAAATAATAATAATAATAATAATTTATTAATTCAATAAGAGATAGTATTTTTGAGATCGTACAATCTTTTCGTTAATTATCAATCTCTCGATTATTATTCAAAAAAAAAAAAAATAATAATTAAAAATAATTAACTTAATAATAATGTCAACGACAACATTTTCATTATTGTCGGATCGAAAACAATAAACAATAATAATAATAATAATAATGATAATAATGATTATTCGGATAACCTTAAAATAAAAATTATATATATATATATATATTATCGAGGTGAAAATCAGAGAAATATTCGCGCGACCTGCCTTTTGTTAATTTATATTGTTACGAAAAAAAGAAAAAGCAGACGAAAATTATATTCAACAAAGGCGGATACCGTAATCTGGGCAACCCAGATTTTTCTCCGGAGGATGGGCGTGAGTGTGTGTGTGCGTGTGCGTGTGCGTTTACCCGCCAAACAATTTATTTTATAATGACGTCATCTTAATCGGGTCTTCTTAAACAACATCAACAACAAACAACAAACATCTCATGACGCATTAAATAAATTTCACCTTAATAATTTTCTTTTTTGTTTGTTCGATTTCTTTTCTTTTGAAAAATAATAATAATAATTTTCACTTTTCCCCTCCCTCCCTCCCTTCCTCCCATTTAATCCCCTCGCGTAACGTATACATTTCGCAAACCAACGTTTATTTAAATTAATGATCATCTTTTCCCTTTAATTGGGGGGGCCTGTGACTCAAATGAAAAAATTCACGTTGGTACTCGTGAAATGATAAGTCATGACTTTTCTTCCTTTTGGACGTTGATTAATTATGCGAGTGAATAAAATGTATATTCTACTAACTCGAAAATGTTTAAAAAACAAAAAAAATTCCGATTAAAAAGGAAAACAAACAACAAACCAAAAACAAACAAACAAAACGAAACCGCAATTCAATGCCGCTTCTTCCAAAAAAAAAAAAAAAAAATGGCGACCGCGAATTTTTTTTTTTGTTTTTGGGGTCAATAAATAAAAAGAAAACAAGAAAATTTTTTATGTTTGTTTGTTTGTTTACGTAAATATATATTCGTCCTCACTCGACAAAAAAAAAAAAAATATTTAAACAAAAACGAACAAACTACTTCCTGTTTCTCCTATTTCCGTTTTTCTTTTTTTTTCTTATTTATTTATTACAAAAGAATCTCAACCGAATCTTTTTCTTTTTCTTCGTAACGGAAACGTATAAATTTCGCCGTTACGAAATTCACATCCTTTTTTCTTTCGTCTTTTATTATTTCGAAAAAACGTGTCACCAACTAAATTAAAAAACGAAAAAAAAATTGACAACAACAACAAACGAATTATTTATAAACAAAGTTTTTGCTTTTATTTTTGTTAAATTTCTGAAAATCACGGTTACGTATAACGAATTTATTAAAAATCACGTGAAATGAAATTTTCTAATTCCACGATGGTTATAAAAAAAAAAAAAAAAAGGATAATAAAAATAATTTTTCCAAACGATCCGTCTGAGAATTTCAAAAAAAAAAAAAAAGTTTTTTTATCTTGGAATTCGAAGGTTATTAAAAACATAATGGAAGGGGGGTCTCGGAATTTTTTTTTTTTTGTTATCGAGGGTTCCATAATATTCTGATTATTAAAATCCGATAATGTCGAAAAGGTTTCTCTCCTCCCCCCCCAAAAAAAAAAAAATCTAAACGTGACCTTTTCAAAAAAAAAAAAAAAAAAAAAATGGAAAAGGTTCTTTTAAAAAACATTTTTTTTTCAAATAATTCTCTACCACCACCACCATCATCATCATCATCATCATCATCATCATCATCATCATTATCATCATCATCATCATCATCATTATGGTTTACGTCGAAAGTGAAATAAAAACATGGTCTACGTAATTAAATAATAAAATTTCTAATACCGAACTAATAAAAAAAGAGAGAAAAAAGTCAACGAGTGACGAAACAACTTGTAATAACGACCAAAGAGGAAAGTTAAAAAAAAAAATTTTAAATGAAATAATTTACGAGTCGTCGACACTTTGTCGACACTTTACAAAACCCAAAAAATATTTTTTTAATGATTTCATGTGCGACAGAATCACGATCGTAAAAATTCGACAACAACAACATCGATTATACTACGCATATACACAAACATACGGTTGTTGTTGCTGCTGCCTCTTTTCTACAAACGTTGCGTACCTTAAATTATTTCGCGTATTTTCCATCATTTTTAGTTTTTAAAAAAAACGCGCGTAATTCCAAATAATAATAATAATAATAATAATAAATCAATGAAAATTTAATTTATGGGGGGAGAAAAAAGAAAAACCAATATTAAAAACTCGTCCGAATATAATCACAACCGGAATTTTTTTCGCGTCCTCCCCCACCCTCCCCACCTCCCCTCCCTCCCGTTACGCAGATCCTGGGTCAACGTTCCTTCGTTCGTTTGTTTTCTAAAAAAAAAAAAAAAAACGCGCGTTTTCTTTTTCAATGACGAGAGATTAATTTTCTTTCGTTTTTCCTTTCGTTACTTTTTATTTAAAAAAAAAACTCGTGACGTAGTAGAGTAAAAGAAAAATTAGAACAGGTATATTATTTTATTCGCCCGATGAATAATAATAATAATAATAATAATAATAATAATAATAATAATAATACCTAGTACAACACCTGACACATTCCGGAATTCCGACAAACGCGCGCGCTCGCCCGAGTGTGTGTGTGTGTGTTTGTTGAAAGAGAGAGAGTTGAATGAAAACAAACGGTGAAAGGCCGAGTTGTTGTTGTCTTCTAATAATGTGACTGACTTTGAGTTCATCTCTCTCCCCTCCCTCCTTCCCCCCACTTCTTTCTCTCTCTCTCTCTCTCCCCATCGTTTTTATACTCGTTCTCATTTTTACCGTATGTACCTTGATTATTGTTGTTGTTGTGGTTGCGGTTGTGTTTGTTGATGCTCATGTTCTTCTTTTTTTTCAAAACAGTTGCTTTTGACTCGTGAAAGTTAAAAGGTGCGAAATAATAATAATAATAATTTTTTTTTGACAAATGGCGGTTATTTCGTTAAGTTAATATTATTTATCAACGCGACACGATAAAAAATTTTTCTTTTTTCTTTTCTATTTTCTATTTTCTCTTTTTTAATCGTTTGTCGTTGTTTATTTAATTAAAAGTTTTTGGAGAAAAAAAAAATGTTTTGTTTTTTAAATAATAATAATAATAATACCAGGACTATGTCAAAATCGTACCTGTTATGCTTAATTATTTTTACCTGGATAACTATATGCAGTGGTAAGTGGTTAATAAATTATTAGTACATTACTAATTACTTTTTCATAGAGTCCTTAATAACTTTTTCCTCGCCGCTACTACCTCAATAATAATAATAATAATAATATCGATTTTTGCCACCACCCCCCCCCCAATTTTTTTTGACAATTAAAATTTTGGTTTTAATTTTAAAAAAAACAAAAAATGGCGGTCATTCATACTTTTCGTTTTCGTAAAGATATTTCGTGACTTTTTTAAAATTGTTTGTTTATTTTAAAAAAAAAAATCTAACAACAAACGTTTGTTGATTAAAAAATAATAATAATAATAATAATAATAATTTCTTCTGGTACGTTAATTAAAAAAAAAAAAAAAAAAATTGGAAAATTATTGGAAAATCATTATAACCCGTTTGTAATCTTCCAGGCAGCTAAAAAAATTTTCTCTCTCTCTCTCTCGTTTGTTAAGGAAAAGAGGAAAACAAAAAAATTAAAAAGTGAAGGAGGGGAGAAAAGGGAAGAGGGTGGAAAAACCACGTTGAAAGGGAGGTTGGGGTAGTAAAAATTTAATTTTTTCATCCCCCAAAAAAAAAAAGTAAAATAAAAAATCTGCCGTACATTTTTTTGTTTTTGATTCTACCGCGAAAATCATGGCTGGATTTTTTTTTTTTTTTTTTTAATAATTTATTAAATTATTTTACTACGTTTCCGGTTTTTTTTTCTGGAAAAAACAACATAAAACACCGACTGGAACATATAATTATTTAAAACGAGAATAATTTAATGTCGAGGCCACTAAACTCATTTACCCTTAAAAAAAAAAAAAAAAATTTGTTTTTTGGTGATTGAAAGAATCGCACGTGGAACAAACACCAAATACAAAACAAACAACTCACTCGATTTCGACAAAATCGACGAATGATAATAATAATAATAATAATTAAATATAAAAACATTACGTTAGGGATTAAGGGGGGAAGGA